AGTACCGCCGAAGTCATACCAACCTATTCTGCTACACAGTAGAATTCCTCCTAAGGGCAGGGTTCCATTGCGGCTCCGCGGCTCCGCTGCTCCGCGGCACTTGGCTGCATGCAGCGGAGCAGCGGGGTTCCACTGACACTCGCCATGTGCGGTATCGCGGTCATGCTCCACGTTTTTTTTAGGACGTTGAATTACCTATGCGAAAGCAAAAATTCCTCGTGTTCTGGCCTGCGCAACGAATAATTATTCGAAATTTAAAATTTAAAATTCCCGTGTCTAAAACAATGCAAAGAACGGAAAACAGGAGGAGCCGTGGCCGCGGCTCGGAGTTTTTGATCAAGGATCGTAGCGAAAGCTCGTGGCGACCAGCGGCCTCACTGCACCAGCTCAAGCCACAGTCACTATGGTAATGATGACGTTTCATGCCGCGGATGACGTGCAGCGGAGCCGCAGTGGAACCCGGCCCTAAGTCCATGCAGTTCTCAATGATATGCCACAATGGGCAGAGCTTCCTTCCATAGAAGGCTGAAGGCTGAACAAAGTGTGGCTTCCTACGATGTTAGAATTTGCTTTCCTCGAGGGCCGCATAGCGTGAAGCTGGAGAAGCCAGTCAAAACCTAGTTCTGCATTCGTTCTACTATCTGCTACGTATACCATCAAATTCTGAGCCTTGATTCCATTGCAATGTTTGGCCAAAAGCCACTCTCCACACACTGGTGAGTGTTTTCACTTTGCTCTGAGAAGGGCGTCATAATACCTTAGGCGAGACCAAAATAAAATCGAGATTCCCGGGCAGGGCCCATGTGAAATCGGTGCGGGCGGGCGAATTTCTTATTTCTATTTTTTCCTATCTATGTGCGCATGCCATGCTGAACTTTTTTTACAGTATTTTCCGGTAATTTTTATTCATTTTTTACCAACAACAGGTACTAGGTACGCGGTTTATAACTTGTTCAATGTTTCTGTATTTCGGCCAACGATGGCCCTGATCTGTACATCAGGGAGCCGTACAAGCCCAGGTGTGTATGACTCCCGGTCATAGATCTAGTCATGCGATCAGTACTGTACATGTATATGAACTGTTTGTGGCGTTGGCTCGATTTTGGTGCGGGAGGGACCGGGAATCTCTATTTGTTTTGGTCTCGCCTTATCATGAGCCAACCATCTCTACCATTCACAAAGGTTGCTTGAATGCTGGACAATCTACCATATTCTGCATGGAGTGCTTTTATGTTGATAGAGTTCGATCAATATGCTCCCACTGCGTACCACAGTCCACATAGAGGCCCAAGAGTATTCAGGCCAATGGTAGATGCTGAGCAGAACCAAGATACTCACCGGACTCCCAGTCACATTAGATAAGGTGGTGCGGCCAGGATAGTAGCCATTTGGGCACGGAAACGCTTGTAAGTCCGCTTCTAAACATTCGTACACTGTTTCCTGGTTTTCGGCAACAAAGCAAACAGGAGCAAGTATCAATAATGTTTTAAAAGTTTCACATTAAGAGCACAAGTATACTTGTCAATATCATGAAACATGCCCTATTTTCACTATGCATAATATTGATATGTCTTTTTAACATCTCAGAAGTAGCGACAAACTCGGCCATTTGAAAAAAAATCTGAACCGCCCACCGCTTCACACTGCGCTCTCGGCCCACATTCACAACACCACTCCCTAGCGAGGAAGTTCGTTCTTTGGTAGATGTTCCATATCCTCCAGATAGCTGTTTTGCTCGTTAAGAGCTCCTCAGTGGACGTAGATAACAAATGAATAGCAGATAAAGGAATGAGTATATTTAGAGGGTAAAGTGGCGCAATTGCGCACTTTCTATAGAAAAGTAGCATACCCAAAGAAGTTGAAGGTGACAAAAGTTCTAAAGATGATGACGAAACGCACAGCGCTGCCGGAACATGCATGCAGATGGCGCTAGAATTTAGACAAGCGCGTGAAGCATACAATATTGATATTTGCGCCGTTCAGCGACAGGATGAGCGAGCGGGGTGTTCTTCTTCTACTTCATCTGCGGAATGAAAGTTTTCAACGGCCAGTATTGGAGGTGGCGCAGCCTTGACGGAGTGAATGCCTGAGGCGCCCCTCTGGAGGTTAGCAGCTGACACGCACCACCACTGGCTATGTGTGCGCCTACAACAACAAGTTTGTCGTCAACGGCAGGAGTGGCAGCGGAGTAACCTCACACGGCGGGCGGGCAGTGCAGTGAATGCCCCACGGGCCTCTGGGACTGTCGCGTCACCTGGCCTTCCGTTTCTCTCATCTCATCGTCACGTCACTATGGGATCGTTACTTCAATCTATCATTATGCATGTATGTGTGACAACGTTAGTACGAACTTCTAATAGACTGTCTGCTTCACGCGCTTGTCTAAATCCTAGCACCATTTGTATGCATGTTCCAACAGCGCTGTGCGTTTCGTTATCACCATTAGAACGTTTGTCACCTTCAACTTCTTTGGGTATGCCACTTTTCTATATAGAAAGTGCGCAATTGCGCCACTTTACCGTATAAATATACTCATTCTTCATCTGCGAAACAGCTTTCTGGAGGATATGGAACATCTACCTAAGAACGAACTTCCTGAATGTGGAATGAATGTGAATGTGGGCCAAGAGCACAGTGTGGAGAGGTGGACGGTTCGCATTGTCTTCAACATGTTGGTAATTAGCTAATAATGTCAAAGCCTTGACCGTCATTGAATATTCCAGCTGTCTGGTTGTCTGCACAAATCATCACATTGTGTAAGGGCAAGGGCAGGATATGCCTTGACCCATTGTGTAAGGGCAAGGTGGGCAGGATATGCCTTGCAGGCCCGGCAGAACCGGTACGATTGGTCAGGCCATGGTAAGACCAGCTTTGTTGGCCACCAAAGCGTGTGTACCGCTGAGGACTCAGTGAGGAGGTCATGTATACCCGCCATATCATACGCAAAAGAGTTTGAACGGCTACGGCGTTGCCGGACCAATCAAGTACTGCTTCCGTCGGTCCTGCCTTGTTGTTGTCTGAGGCTTCCAGAGTGGTGCCTTCAAGCTTTGCTTTCCCAGTGAGAATACTTTAGACCTACTACAACTTGTATAGGCCTTCTACCAGAGTTAGAAGTCAAAACACTGAGAGCACGAAGAGCAGGGAGAAAAAGACAATTCACTGAGAACAGTATGTGTAGTGCAGCCACCTGCCAACTCACAGCTTGTTCAGAATCAACTTCTTGAACTCTTGGGCAGTAGCTGCATCCAGCCATGCGGCTACTGTTTGTACGGCTGTTGATGTAGGAGCCAGGTCCGGTGCAGTAGCTGAGTGTGGAGCCATCAGAGGAGCTCGGAGAGCGCCCACAGCGTGAGCTACATTGCTGACATGATGTGCCCGCAGTGCTGACTGATGTCGATGTATAATACGGGCCATAACAAGCTGATACGCACTCTGAGCCTTGCTGCAGGCCCACACATCCCTTGGTACAGTTGCCGCCGGTCTAGCAGATACACACGTACACGTACACACACACACAAACACACACACAGTCACTTTTTCAAAACAAACATGCTAATCCCCTGGGGAATCCTCCGTGACTTCAGTCTCCTAAAGTAACCACCGGTACGTAGCAGCAGAAGAAGAAGTAAGGACAGTATCATGCACAGTGAACTGGCTTACCGGTCCAGAGCAGCTATCATTCAAACAGTTGCTATCGCACTTGACACACTGCTGAAGAACACTGGAAACAGGTCCACGTGCACACACACACACACACACACACACACACACACACACACACAGACCATGAAATACGTGTGTGCAAACAATATAAGGCAATGGTGGAAGGCGGTTGCAAGGATGGTGCAGCCCTATGTTAAAGTACATACACAAATACAATACGAGTTGACCCAGACATCACAGTCACATGCACACAAACCACAGTAGAAAGTGACGAGTTGTACTAGAAAGTGTACCTGTCAAAGTTGCAAGCCGCCACACAGTTCCCTCTGTACTTGAGATGTTGACAAGCCTGGCATTGGTCTGGTCTGGGTCCCCAGCATCCTGATGTGGAGTTGCACTGGCTGTCACAGGATAAACCAACTCTTGCTAGATTGCCAACAGAAGACAGCGGAGAATAGAGATACACAAACAAACAAGCAAGGGTTCATACCGCAGTTACAGGTTGCAACAGATCACCATGCAACGGCACATTTTCTGAAGCAATTTCTGGAACATTATAGATTTTTCTAAGGGTTCATAAATCCATGGCAGTGGAAAATGCTCGTTTATTGTTGGCGCTTGTCCTGCATACAGCACACTGGTGGTTAATGACTGAAACCTGCCTAAAGCAAAAGGTACTGGGTGACGCATGGCTGGAAGAGGGCATGGTAGGCCGGTGGACGTTTTCTTACATCTTACAGTAGTAGTAGTAGGTGACTGCAGGGAATAGGGATTTGATTGGGTAAGGTCAGTCAGTATACACAGCGACCATTGCTGGGCAGCATGGACACCGGCCGATCGCCCACTCACACAGCATTGCCGAAAAAGAGATCAGAACTCACAGGAGCATATACATGTAGACAACAGCATGCACTATGCTGTACGTGATGTGTTATATCCAAGGACAAGCACGCGCGTGCACGCACGTACGCGCACACACGCAACACACACACACGCACACACACACACACACACACACACGCAGAAATATCGTACTACTAGTACCCGATCAGAACAAAGAGCACGGCGCGACTTATCGGCCCAATTGACCGACAGATGTTGCCTTTTCATGCACCCCAAGGTATGCCACAACTAGGCCATCGGCAGCAGCCCTATCCATCACTCACCACACTCAGATTGGTTCTGATTGTTTGCTATGGTAACGGCAGGCGCTTGCGGGTTGAACACTCTCACAGCATCTGACCAGCTGACGTCGGAGCAGAAATTCGGATTGTTCTGGATGAGAATATTGCCATACTGCACACGCAGTAGGTTAGGAAAGTTGAATGACCGCAGCTGACTGTTGCCCGAGATGTAAACAGAGTAATATGGCCGATAGGTGTCGTAGCTACCGTACACTTCAACCAGGCTAGTGAAGAAGCTCAAGTCGATCAGTGACGCAGCCACGTCGACAACCGCAAGGAAACCCTGGATCGCTTCAAGGCTGGCGAAGTACTTCAAATCGCTTAGTGACAGCGGAGTGATAGCAATACCGCCTTGTGTGAACCTGCAGAGTCATAGAAAATAAAATGGCATGAAATGAAACCTGGCAATGGGGTCCACATGACCATTGAAAAAGTCATGGCAACCTTCACAGTACAAATATTGCACATCTACCACCGCCCGTGTTTGCCGCTCCTAATCTTAGAGGAAGTTAGTGGGTTCCAAGCCTTTCGTCATGTGCAATACAAGCAAAGTCAGCTATGGCATGGTATGGTTGGTTGGCAGAGGATGCTGATACCGTCATGTTGCTGCATGATTTTCAGCGGACAGTAGCCATGTGACAAAGCGTGTACAAGCTCGTCGCCACCTTTGCTGCGAAGCAAGTGAAGGTCTGGCAACCTTTGCAAAGGACTATGAGCCGTCTCATCCTAGGTCAGCCATTTGTACCGACTTGTGCCTTCAAAGCTGATGACCTGGCCAGGTATAGAGCAAGTTGAAATGGGGAACCCAGGAGCTTCCCCGGAAAAGGCCGAGAGAGAGAGAGAGAGAGAGAGAGAGAGAGAGAGAGAGAGAGAGAGAGAGAGAGAGAGAGAGAGAGAGAGAGAGAGAGAGAGAGAGAGAGAGAGAGAGAGAGAGAGAGAGAGAGAGAGAGAGAGAGAGTAAGAGAGAGAGAGAGAGAGAGAGAGAGAGAGAGAGAGAGAGAGAGAGAGAGAGAGAGAGAGAGAGAGAGAGAGAGAGAGAGAGAGAGAGAGAGAGAGAGAGAGAGAGAATGCCATTCAACAGGTTTTCTTTACACTATGGGAACACGAAGAGAGTTCGCGGAATTATTTTCGTTGCGTTCCCGTAACGTAGAGCGGAACATCACTATTGTGTTGGTGCACTGCTTCACTGTCCGGTATGAATGGAATTCAATATTTAAATCAAGTACAGTCAAGAGACCGCAACCACCACATGCATCTGATGATACATTTACTTTGCTTACGGTTCCAGCTTGTTTGTCGAGCTGATTGTTTACAATGGAAACGTAATTATGCTGATTTGTATGATCTAAATCTGTGTGTTCGTACCTATTGGGAATGTGATAAGAAGTTGGAAATCTAAAACTTGAAGTGCAAAATTGTATGCGAAGGCCTCCTTGCTGGCATAAAGTTCACTCACCCTGTGAAAGAGAGTTGATTAATCAACACACTGCCGTGTAGAATCTGACAGCCATTCAGACTCTGGATGTTGCCACCGTGAATCAGTGGGAAATATCCATTTTGATAAGCAAGGCTGCACACTGCAAATGATTGAAAGAACAGAAGTTCAAGGCAGCCGAATAGGAAGATTAGATTATCGAAGCAAGCAAACGTTATCAACGAGCCGGATGGATGTAAGTACACCCCCCCCCCCCACACACACACAGACAGACAGACAGACACACACACACACACACACACACACACACACACACACACACACACACACACACAGACAGACAGACAGACAGACACACACACATGCATACTAGTATACCTTTCACGGTTGAGTTTGGTGGCCGTCGCGTACACGCACGTCCCTGGAAATCAGCCTTTAGGACACCACAGCCACGAAGGCAAGCTGGCTCGTTTTGCACTTTCAGGAAGGGTTCTGTATGGACCACAACAGAATTCAAAACAAAACCCAACACTATCACTATGTTTGGAGCAACCCGAGGGACTTTCTAATCTTCAGTCTCCTCATCAAAGGGGAGGTTAAGCCTAACGTCACCAGCACTACCAACCATGTTTACACTATGATCACCAATCAATGGCAAGGGACAAGTTGATGATGGTAAGCAAAGGTGCACCGCTGTAGTACATGTACATAATAATATGTCAAGAGACCATCTCACTATCACTTGTCTAAACGTGTTGTCTTTGCAACTTTGCCATGCTATCAATTGTCTACATTGAGGATGAGATGCACCAATATTGTCATTAGGAGAGTGTTCTCAGTATCCTACGTACGTCTTATCCCACAGTACTGTCGGGCGCCAAAGAACGGAGCACCAAAGAAGGGATGGGCTAGGATTTCACCGAAGCACAGCATACCGATATTATGCACGGTAACTTCACTGTGCATACACTGTATTACATGCAACTCGCGGATGGGTTGGCCCGCGGCGGAATTTTTGTTGACGTAATCCTTTCGACGATGCACGCGCTGCGAGTCTTTTGGAAGGTTTTGCCTCGTGCACTTGGCCGGGCTTTACATTACAAGGTCGATGCCCGGCACGTGCTCTTACACACTGCTCTGCGGCAAAATGCGCGTTTTTCTGAGAGAAAAAAAAGGTGACGTCAACAAAAAATTCCGCCACAGGCGGGGGTATCTGCAGATTGTGCAGAAGAGATCCGGAGTTGCACGCTCTTGTTTATCTACTCTTGATACTAAGTGAGTTGCACTATACCTGGACAGGTTGGAATGCAGCGCATGAAAGCAGCATGACCGGTTGAACATTCCATTTCCGGAGCACAGCCCTTTGCTGGGTCGTAGGCGAGAAGCCGGCTATTTGCACTAATGTCCCTGCAAGCCTGAAATCACACAGTGACATACAGTCTGAACATAATTTACTGAAGTACACAGTGCCACCATTGCTTGACTGAGCAATGGCCACCATTGCTTGACTGAGCAAGAAGTGTAGCTACCCCTGAAATATAATTATGTAGCACACACATGCAATGCTTTCCATGCACAATTTCAACTTGACATCATTTTTTCCAATGTTTCACTCACTCCGCCCATGGTTTCAGATGCCGCTGCGCTACAGCACTGATACAAGAGTTGAATGCCTGTAGGCGCTGTGTACTCTCGTATTCTATAGCATGCTTGCATTCGGATTAGCAAGTACATTCATACCTTGGCTATCCGGACCCCGAAGTGCCGGGCACTTCGGTCTACCGGGCACCCTTTGGGGCAAGTTTTAGTGGAAACACTACTACTCTTCCATCACTTTTCGTGAAGATAGTAACGTCATATGCCATATTTACGGCCTTTCCCCCATCAAAATGCATGTGTTTCGACGTTACGGGCAGTGAACAGTCCCGGACCGCCCGGAGAAGTGAGGTATGAATGTACAAATATGACTACACCTCCAATTACAGTAAAACCTGGTGTAAGCGACCTCTGGTTTTAGCGACCACCTGCTTTTAACAACCGCTTTTCCATGCACGGACAGTTCTACACAGAAACTGCACTGGATACAGCGACCGCCTGCCTTGCACGACCAGCGACTGACTTTCATTGTACCAAGTGCCATATTGGACCTGCACACAGCGACCAAAACCAGCCAAAAGTGCCATCTTGGCCGGCAGAGTTGACTGCAACGGGGTTGAAGTACGCGCTGAAGCAAGTGTATGCACTCAACAGAAGTGACAAGTGACAGTGCAGGATGGCTGCATGCACTTGGGTGAGGCGTTCTTTGCCTGCACGAAAGTATTCTATGCTCCACACCTGTCAATATGAGTACATGATCCGATATGCCACGAATGTAGGGGACCTGGTTCTAAAGACCACCTGCCTTTAACAACCGCTTTTGCTTTCACCGCGGGGTGGTTGCTTAAACCAGGTTTTACTGTACACTGAAAGAAGGGAGACACAACTGCACACATGATGACAGAAGGAATAAAGGAGCATGCGCATAGACAAAGTTTGCAGTGCAAGCACTAATATGCACTCACAAAGCATTTGTCTATAGTGCCAGTTTCATTACACCCTGCTGCACAGTCCCCGTGACAGCAACCGCTGGCACCACCGGCAATACAGCGCATTGATGAGTCGGTGCATGAACCACCACAGGCTGCCGTGCCACCCTGATTGTAAGCTGCACGCATCACATCACAGAAACACAAAGCCAGAAAACTAGCGAAGATGTCAAACAGACCGAGTCACAATATGAAACTTGATGGGTAGGTCATAATTATTACAGCGATTGCTGAATTGCATGATGAGAAGCGCTCTGGCTACCAGATAGCCAAGGCTCCCAGAAATCCTTCCAACCAAAGAGCTGCCGCACCCACACTCACTGCCACAAGCCGCGACTTACGCTGCATCTGAGAGGTCGTGTTACCCCAGCAGTTTGATGTACCACACGAACCCGGGCCTGGACAAGACACACAATACGGACACACGGGTGCATTGTGATTTTCTCAGTTTTCTTTTCGTATATTAAACTTAATCAACACGCTACTAGGATCAATACTGTTGGTGCAGTGGCTAAAAAAATAATACTGATATTGGTTAGTGAAAGTTGATCTACAATTAATCGACTCCTAGACGTGCTATATTGGCAATTTTCAACATGATTGTACTGTTACTCTGTATGGCGGGTAATCTTCACACACCAAAACGTCACACAGTGGGCCATCACAGGCTTTCGAATACGGAATTGATCTCTTTTCGGGCAGTGTAGATGTGGCCATGGGGCTCAGTTTGTTATACAGTGTGAAAAATTCGAAACGACACATTTGAGGACATTGGCCATGGAGAACAAACAATATCGTAAATGACTCGCTACACATAATATACATTGTACAATATCAGCCCACATTGAGACCATGCGACAAAAGGTGACGTTGTTCATTTCGTGTACACAGAACAGTGTTAGGATTTACCCGTATACTGACATGGTAATATCTAAAGGGGCGGATAGGTTGAAATGAGCAGCTTGCGGTGCCATGTCACAAGCATTCTCCAATTTCGTCGATCTCTCAGGTGGCCTAGTGGCACTTGGTATGTTGAAGTTATATGGGCACCTCTTCTAAACAGGGGGTGGAGGTGGAGGTGGGGGTGGGGGTGGGGGGGGGGGTTGGAGGTGGGGGTGGGGGGGGGTAGTAGTAACTTATGACAAAGGTTACTGTAAACCGTGATTTATTATTGCGATGGTCTAATTTCTGCGAAATTCGCAACCGCGTGGAAATCGCGAAATTTAGAGAGCGCGAAAAGGAGATCCATGAAAGGTTTAGCAAGAATGCCACAGGTTTAGCAAGAATGCCATTCTGCAATCGCAAAATTAAAACCTCGCAAACCTGTCCGGATTCTGAAAACGCGAACTAAAAACGCCGCGAAAATGTCACGCTTCACAGTATACCAATTAGACTTACAGCTAGCCATGGATGCAGCTCCGGTGAGGTCATTCCCGTTGGGATCTCTTTGCAAGGCACGCCAGTTCACACTGTAGCGAACGTAGCAGAGGAGCGGGTTGGCCACGAACGCCACTGAACCACTGGTTATTTCACGCAGTCGCGGCAACCGCAGCTCCGTCAGCACTGGGTTGTTGGACACGTACAGAGTATTCCTGGAGAGCTGCTGAACGCCATAGACGATGTAGAGCTCCGGAAGAGAGACAACACTTAGCTGAGTGCCTGAGATCAGGATGTATCCAGACACCTACAGCACAGCGAACAGAAAGAGAAGTTATATCGAGTGAAACAACCATGCCGATTACTCGCCACCTACTGGTTATGGCTGGACTGATACTAGCTAACAGTTGAAAAATGGGCTCATCAAGTACTCGGATGGCTAGCTTTCAGCCACCAATATGCTGGAAAACAGATAGGCCAAGCTTCTCACAACTGTAATCATGATATCTACTGTGGAAAAACTGTGATTCAAATGTGTTATCCTCCAGTAGCACTTGAATGTCTAGAAGTTCACTCGTTCACTTGCCAATTCCAGATGATCACGTTGCTCCACGCTTGGGCCGTACTAGACTGCCGACGTGGTGTGTGCAAACTAACTCGGGGCCGAGTTGCTGTGAATATGAAAGTTTTAGAGACTTGGTTGGATATTGGTATGGAATGAAACAAGAAAAGCCCCCACCGAATAGAAGCCCCTCTTGAATAGAAGCCTCGTCAAAATTGGTATTAAAAAAATAGAATCCCTGCGTTCTAATCGAGTGAGTACGGTACATACATACATACATACATACATACACATACATACACACACGCACACACACACACACACACACACACACACATATACACACACACCTGTCCTGTCCTGTCGACCCACTGCCGTAAAGGTTACATGGTCCCATTGCGGGTGGAGGGGGAGGAGTAAACACGCCGGTGCCGCATCAGGTCCCTGGACTGCAGAAATCTCCGAGAGCAGTGCTGACACAGTAGTGGAAACTTGGCCCGTTCATCCGTTGTTGGGCGGTTCTGGCGAGGTCTACAAGGAGCGGGAGCGGGCTGGCTAGCGATCGATTTAGGCTGATACCTGTGGACAGCGAGTCCACCCCTGCTACGACACCACTTCCCACAATCTGCGCATTGACATGCACCACGCTGCTGTTGTACTGGCTTGCGCCGCGCCGCTGTGCATTCACAGCTATACTAGAGGAGCTGGTAAGCCCTCGAGTGTTGGCTACCTTCGACCCAGCACAGCCGCTTTGTCTCGAAACAGACGCCTCGCAGTCAAACGGCCTCGGCATGGCACTGTGGCAGCAGCAAGTGGACGGACGGTGGCGTCTAGTGCAATATCCTTCACGGCACGTCACTGATACCGAGGCCAGGTACTCTGTGACGGAGATTGAGCTGCTGGCGGTAGTCTGGGCAGTCCACAAGGTTAGACCGTTCCTGGCCGGTGCTGATTTCGAGCTGCTAGTTGATCATAAGCCGCTCATTCCTATCCTGAATGCTAAGACGCTGGATGAGTTGACGCCTCCACGAATCGTGCGACTACGGGAGAAGCTGACGCCTTTTCGGTTCGTAGCTCAGTGGAGACCGGGTGCCGATCACAAGGTCGCAGATTGCCTGTTGAGACACCCAGTAAGTGCACCAGACCCTGACGATGAAGCTGGGGAGGAATAAATCGAGCACTGCTACTGTGTTCTCCGTCGGCTGTCGCAAGAGGACGAGGAAACAGGCGATACAGTATGGCCTGTTTCCTCATTACAGTCCTCCCCGACCTTGGCATTACAAAGGTGCGGGCAGAGGGCTCGACAGACCTGGAATACCGCAAGCTGCTGGAAGCCGTAAACAGCGGCTTTCGGTGGACAAGGTTGCTCTGGACCTCGACCTGAACCCGTACTGGCAAGTTCTGCTGTCGGTCGAGGACGGCATAGTGCTGTTGGGCCACCGTAGTGCCGTTCCCAGAAGGTTACGCCAAACCACGCTAGAGCAACTTCACTCTTCTCATGAGGGACAGACCCGCACACTCCGCAGGGCCAGGCAAGCAGTGTACTGGCCCCAGATTTCCAATGACGTTAAGAACGTCGTCCAGACCTGCAGATCCTGCGTCACGCTGCTCCCCTCCCAACCTTCCGAGCCACTCCTCTCTGACAGTCGCCCGTCCAGACCGTTCGAAGATGCGGCGGAAGACCTCTTCTCCCTAGGCGGCTTTGAGTACCTGGTTCTCACCGACGAGTTTTCTGGCTGGCCATCTGTTGGGCGTTGTGGGAGGTCGGCTACCACGTCTGATATCACCAAACATCTCGTTCAGTGGATGTCAGACGTTGACGTTCCTACACGCCTTACGACGGATGGTGGGTCACAATTCAGGTCTTTAGCGTTCACTTCGTTCTGCTCAGAGTGGAACATTTGCCATGACCCCAGCAGCCCGAAACAATCCTCAGTCGAATGGCGCGGCTGAGGCAGCAGTCAAGGCCATGAAGCACTTGCTAATGAAAATCGGCAAAGGAGACGCCTATAACAGCAGTGCCTTCAGAGAAGGGTTGCTGGAGTGGCGTAACACGCTGGGTGCAGGAGGACCAAGCCCGGCCCAGCTGCTGTTTGGAAGGCCAGCGAGGACCAAGGTTCCCACATTTCCTGCAAATCTGCAGCAGTACGCTGCCCACAGCCGTGGTGCTCCCCAGCAGGTCTCATCCCGGCTTGGCAAACCTCTGCCCCCTCTGCCGTAGGCGATAAGGTATGGATCCAGAGCCGGTCTTCGAAACGCTGGGATATGGAAGGAACGGTCACAAGATGCATGAGAAGAGGACGGAGCTACACAGTGCAGACGGTAACAGGGTCCAGCTTCTGGCGGAACAGATGGTTCCTCCGGCCACGTGCATAGATTGACTTGGCATGCTTCTCCTGCATTTTCCTTGTTGCTTGTGTGCTACGCTGTGATTTTCGAATTTCAATTTCAGGATTATTTTGGTAGTGCTCCAAAGTCGCACTCAAGCCAAGGGGGCATGTGGTGATATTATAGCACCTTTCCCTGCATGGGTCTTGTCCCTTAGGCTGCTACTGTTCGCACCTGCTTCCATGCACTGTTGCACGCTGCGCTGCTGGACTTCTCACGCCTTGCGCATAACGTTAGCATATTCACATGTCACCTTTCAAGCCGCCTTTGCAGCCAGCTTCCCTATAAAGCCATTGCGTTTCACTGATCTATTTATTCTCATCTTTCGAAGAGTTGGTCTGCCTTGAGCAGGACACAACATGGCGCAGTGAACAGAAGCACACACACCATTGGACCATTGGACGCCCATCGCCAGAGGCGATGATAGCAATGCTACAGCAGAAGCCATAGCAGCTTGTGCTGGGATTGCACCATTCAACAGCTTGCAAGGCTGAAGAAATGACCGCCACTATTCAGCCTGGTCTACACCACACAGCTATGAAGTGGCTTTTTCTGGCCAGTGAATCCCTACTTTTTGATCTTTTTCCTTTTTCCTTTTTTTCTTTTTTTCACACACACACACACACACACACACACACACACACACACACATACATACACACATACACACACACACACACACACACACACACACACACACACATACACACACACACACACACACACACATACACAAGCCGAGTACACGTACGCCCCAACAACTCACCGTGGTGATGGAAGAGAGAAAGGACAGGTCCGCCTGGGCGTCCAGACCCACCAGTTCCAGATTGTACTCCACATACGTACAATTGGTATAGATTTGTCTGTAGATTGCCAGCCGCTCACTGCTACTGTTGCCATGTAGCTCTGCTATGGGCCCTAGCTGTGTGCCAAGGCAAGGTCTCAATGGAACATTGAAGTATTCTCCTGTACAGTGGAAGTACAAACAGAGCATATGAACGAGAGTCGAGATTAGCACCTCACGAGCTCGCTCTTCGGTTCACACACTGAGAATGAGATACATGTACATGTACCAGCACTAGTATACAGCTGTATAGACCTCCCACACACAGACACTCAGATACACGACTGTACATGTACCAGTACCGGTGATCTGTAGCTGTGTTTCATATGGCTACATGTACTGGCACTGTGTATTCCTACATGTACATGTATTTCGTTCACTGTGCCATAATCAGATACACACACACACACACACACACACACACACACACACACACACACACACACACACACACAGGGCAGTGATATGAGGATTGAGTTACACTATGCTGGATCATGCTATAATTTCCACTGAACAGTCTCTCCCAAATATGAACTGAACAGACTAAATAATTATAATCCTGGCAACCACAAAATCGTGTCACAACACAAAACACAGAAACCGACACACTTATCACTGTGACTATTAGGCACTTTCTGGACCCGTCATGACTGGGAAACTTCTTTTTCGCGGCCATCAGCAGAGGAGAGGATGATCACATGTCAATCTCTGCTCCCACTCCCTTGCAGGAGAAGAGCATTTAGTCATGTAACTGTTACCTAACTAACTGTTACTTTGGGTCGAATGAATGAATAGCTAGCTGCCTGGGAGATTGAGTGTAGCTGTTACCTACAAGTGTTACATGTGCTTCTGAGCTAGGGCAAACCACCTGCTCAAATACAGTGTAGTCTATGCTCACAGTCAGGGATGGCAGGAATGTATGTGTGTGTGTGTTGGGTTGTGTGTGTGTAGGGGGGGGGGGGGGGGGTCAATCCTGCATACAGTAGACAACTGTCGTCTCCACTGTCTGTAATTATCGAATATGGTTTCTCGCACCTATAACGAACACAATTGTGCCTGTAGGTCACTGGTGGGAGTTTCAGAAGGCACTTACAAGTTTACAATGAAGCATTACAGTGACATGCCACAAGTGTGCAAAGCATTTCACCTCCATCATCACAGTTTTTCAGAAATCGACGGTGATGGTCCGTTTGGGGGGGGGGGGGAGGGTGGTCCTCAGAACCATCTGTGTGCTGACTGATGCCATCATGGAGTAAGCCAGCTTATGATCCCTAATACCCAGCAGCATGGAATACGTATTCGGCTTATGTTGCCAATGGAGTCCCCGTGTGACTGCTGTCACTGACCGGGAAACTCGCATAGTGATATGTGGCTGGCCAACACTGGGCAACAGGAACTTGGAAGAGGATATACCTACACCAGAACTTGGCAAGTCCTTAGCTTTGCAATAAGCTATGGCTCGCAACATGCACCGTATTTTCCAGGCTCGGAGTCACACAATTTCACCGAAACTCAGACAGAAATGCTTTTGTGTGTGTGTGGCTTATATCCTGACCACTCATCTTGATATTTAAACAAAACACAAACTGGAATGCAACGCCTCGCCTCCAATACTGGCAGTGGGAGCATGGCTCTGACCCTGGAAAATACGGTGCATTCCTGCAGCTGTTTGCACAGCTGAGGACTATGAATGACTCTACACACAAGCAACTCAGGACTACTACTAGGTAACCCTAGGGATACTACCAACGCATTAATGTCGTGGTCAAGGTGATTGTGGAGCGTTCGAATGACCGATGATATGACTCCATTGAGCCTTGCAGATACCGTATTCGCGTCACTAAGGGGATTATTCAATCATCAATAATCTCTTCACCAGCAGTATACATGGTATAGCCCCAAGAGATTCCGAACAGTCAGCAAGGCCAGAATCCCCTATGACCAGGATGTCCGTCTACAATGTACGCTGACTCTTACCTTGGTCTAGCGTGGTGGCTTGAGTTAGTGGTTGAGAGTCGTAGCACGGACACAGGAAGCAGAGTGCTACCAGCGTCAGCTGCGCAACAGCCGCTGTAACTCCCCCGACCATCTTCCGCCGTTCAGGGCCAAATCTGTAAAATGCACTTGTCCACTATCCAGCTGACACGGTCGAAAGAAAGACTACTATTCACTGTAGCTGCAGTTTTCAATAACGACGTTACGTGGTTCAGGCCCGCCTTCGCTACGAACTGTAACGTCTTGCCATCTATCAATGATAAAATAATAATAAAATAAAAGGGCAATATTCTACTCCTAGCAATGAATTCCGAAACTGAACGAACTGCAATCTTGTCACCAACACACCCTACAGCCACGCAGATCTACGGACATCGACAGGTCATTCAGGGCGGACATTCACACACAACGCGGACGAAATGACACGCGTGCACTGCTGCTGAGTTATTCGGCTCACACCACGGACGTGGTGGACGACGCTGCCATGTCGACTAGACTGGTAGATCTCCTGGTGCAGGTAGTCACATGCACAGCCAGGAGCAGCGCAGGGCGTTTCTACTACATACACGCGGTTCTTGGTGGTCAGGTACTCGACAAGGATTCCCGGAGTGTCATGACAGTCGCAGTGGATATGTGTAAGCGTGTAGATCTACCAGCAAGATTCACATTTATGGACATAAGTCGTAGGTACTCTTTATCACCGCTGTATCAAAGCTCAGCTATCGCACTGGACAGTCACAGGGACCCACCTAGCCACCTTCAAGGCTTCATGCCCGTCCAACAAACGATCCCACCTTTTGCTCGTCCTGTCCGGATTTGGAGCGCACGACACAGCAGTATGACCGTGACAACGCACGATGACTGGCATGAAGATAGTTACTGCTCAGATGACACTGACGTGGTGTCAACTAAAAAAAACTGTTGATATGAGGTTGAGCCCAACCTATGTTCCAACGCCACGGGCAACACCGCAGAACTCGATCGAGTCTAGAGGTGACTTCTCTTCTAACCTCGGGAACACATTCTAATTTCTTCAAAGTTAGTTAGATGGTGGTTGGCTAGGTAAAATAGACTATTCTTGGCACTTCTCCACTTTTATAGCCTATTATGTATTATCTGAAAAGGCGGCGAGGTGACAAAGGCATGTATATCGCCAAAACTCAGTGGAATTAGCGCAAGAGTCGCTGCATCTCACTCTCACTCAGATCAGGCGCACCAGCCTAGCCTTGCAACCAGAACGAATCATGCACGAGGCTGGCCTGCTGGCAGAATGACAGCAAACCATAGCTCACATGTACACAGGTGCGGTTGTTGAAGTCATCGCGATAACCAGACCGACCCCGTATCATGCAGGGCCGTATGGCCAGGTGTGAAGAGGGCCGGGCAGTTCTCATGGTTCGTGACACCAGCGGTCGAAATGTTGTTCACGGTTTTGTCGCAACATTATGTGTGCTACTTCCACTGGCTGATTCACTGCAGTGATAATGTATGTCTATCCCACTGCAACTGTGCTACATCTGCCTAGCGCCTGTAGACCACAGACATGTCGACAGTCTACATAATTGTCATTCCCATCATATCGCATTCGTTATTACCATATCCCGAGTCGTTCTCATCGGAAGTGGGTAAGGGACGACCGCAAACCGAGTTCGCAGAAGCACACGAAATGAACAAAACTACTTTCTAGAAGTCATACATGTACATACATGTATACATGTATGTGTTTCATTTGACAAGACTGTCGGAGACCGGCACACGGCAACCATATCCAATTTCTCAAGGGGGGGGGGGGGGGGCGGGGTACTACTCGTTGATACTAGTAGGTACTAGGTGTGCACATAAACCCTACAAAAAAACATGTGGACATTTTGAATTTGAACCAATGTTGTGCTATTTTTACTTTGTGCCGCACACGTGACTCGTGAGTGTAGGGGGGGGGGGGGGGAATCTACATGTTTGGGTAGAAAGTTGCTGAAACTTCTTCTGTCGGTAGTATTATGTTCGGGGGTTTTCTACCCCACACGGGATAGATTCTACCTCCTTCCTCTACCGGCTCTACCAGGTTTAAGGTGGCTCACGCCTATTTCAAAAAAATTAACGATTGCTCTGAAAATTTGGTGGGCGGTTGGTCTTAGGTAGTGTATGCAAATGGCGAGTTAAAAAAACGGGGTCTCAATGCTAACTTTTGAGATATAGGCGATGACAATTTCACTAAATTGTCAAATTTGTACAGGATTTGTGATGTATAGCGGACGGGTATTTCATCAAGAACCTGATTTACAATCTTCCTCATTTTTTGGTTATTGAATGGACTAACTGTGTACATGTGAGCGGACAAGGTAGAAATGGAACGTTAACTGCAGTCTGGCAAAAACTGTTTTTTTGCATGAAGGTCACCTACAACTATCTGTTTTTCAGATCCCAAAGTTTCAGGCTGCTACTATGGTGGGAAGTGCCTTACATTCACCATTTTCTAGATGCCGGTCAGTATTTTAACGTCTGTTTCGGGATGATTTAAACAGTCCACCCTTCAGTACAACCAAAACACTGAAAAAAACCCATTATCTTGGCCTGTATTTCTCCACAAGTGTATATCAGTGTGAAAGATGAGCTGATCACACACATGGACTCGTTTGAGGTGGAACAAAGCAACAAAACCACATAACTAGAAACAGCCGGAGCCGAAAAATCAGCTCCAGAGTAACTCGTGATGCAAGGCAAAATAATAGGACTGTTGAAGCTGGTACTCAATCCACACATCAAATACCACTACACACATGTCAAAAATAGAAGAATTTGGCGGACAAATGGTAATTTCAGTGCGTTCTTGCTTCAGCCATGTGTGCACGCTCTCATCGTATACTGTTGGCGACCTCGGACTCTGCTCTGATGCATTGAGGCTCCCGACGACTGAGCGGCGCACCTTGGTAATATAGTTTGTAACATTTTGGCAGGAGACAGACAGCTCTTGAACACACAGCATCGAAATAATATTCCGGAGACGCACCACCAATACGGTGCCCATTGGCGAAGCAGGACGAGTCCACAGACTTGAGAAACTGTACTTAACGTAACGTTACACATCAGTCCGCAATCCGAGGCCCGATTTGACTTCTTTCCACTCAGCTCATGTTCACCAGCCTTGACCATTCTGTGTATCTCAATTCTTAAAACACTCATTTCCAGACAGTGCACGATGCAGGTCTGCCACTTGCATCCAATGCATTGGGCAACAGCTAGCTAGTTGTTCTGGGCTATTAAGTCCCTGCATACGTTCCCCTGTGGTGCACGACGCTATTGTTTCTTCAGCTCCTGCGCTGTGTGCTTCAGAGCTCTGAAGTCGGTTCGGCGTATACATTCAGTACAACTCAGCATCCACAGGAACGTTCCCCTTCATTGGTGTTATCATCATCACTGCTGTCACCACGTTCGCCTGCATCCGAAAGATCCATCTCATTTGTTCCCTATGTCTTTTTGTACCGCGCTGAAGCTAGCAGCAAACAAAACGCTGATCGGCACGTCGTCACGGTTTTCGGCGTAGTGGAAGACGCTCTCGACTACTACCTGACTCAGAAACGCTCTCAGAATCAGAGAAGCTCTCAGCACCTGACAGCAGGCTATCAGCTGATCGCCGTCACCTCCAAATTCGCCCGTGAATACGCCACTCATCGCACAACTAGCTGCCATATCTTCCTTCAGCCATAACGGATTCACTTCAAATTTTCAGTGCTGGACCTTGAAGCCCTGTGCTGAGCGAGGCACAAGCGCTTGATGCAAATAGAGCCCTCTAACCCAGGTAAAAAATATGCCACAGTTTGCCAAACTTCAAACGCCTGTATCTCAAAATGATGTCATGCAGCTAACGTTCCATTTCTACCTTGTCCGCTCACACATGCCAATGAGAAAATAAAAAACATATGCTTCAATGCTCAATTTCGCCCTATAGGCGCAGAATGCCTTTTTGATAAGTTTGCTTTGCTACATGTACATGCACACCTACATATCCCATGTACATGTCCATATACATCTACCCTTCTCTACTAGCCCACCCAACCCTGCAATACACATTGACACAAGTGTACACACACATACCACACACAAACACACACACACACACACACACACGCATACATGCAAACACACACACGCATACATGCAAACACACACACGCATACATGCAAACTAGTGGTGAAACGAATATTCGAATATTCGAACATTCGTTCGGTTTGTCACATTCGAATATTCTTTAAGTCACATTCGAGTATTCGTTACGTCACTTCGAATGCAGTGCATGTATATACAAGCACGCCGAACACAATACAGAGCAGTGCGTACAGCCTGCATGTGACTTTGTACTCCATGTTTTCTCATGCATGTGCATACTGGACTGCCAATGTAGCAAACAACATGTATGAACTTCGAAGTAGCCTTATGTGGCAGTGCATTTTAAGTGGCACTACCATTTGTCATACCTAATAATAATGACAATATCCATCAAATGGCTGAGAGGAGGGCATGTGATGGCATCTCTGTTACCAAAAGAAATTAAAGAATATTCGTACGTTCGTTCGATAAGCCAAAGAATATTCGGTTACTAGGTTTTGACATTCGTTTCACCACTAATGCAAACACACACACACACACACACACACACACACACACACACACACACACACACCTGTCCTGTCGAGCCACTACCACTAGGGTCACGTGGGCCCCGGAAGGGCAGCAGAGAGAGAGAAAGAGCACGCCACCCGGTGGCGCTCCAGACACGCACACACACACACACACACACACACACACACACACACACACACACACACACACACACACACACACACACACACACACACACACACACACACACCTTTGGACCTTTGGAAAGCCCATCGCCGAAGGTGATGATAGCTATTAGGCGAGGCAGAACACACACACACACACGCACACGCACACGCACACACACACACACACACACACACACACACACACACACACACACTACTACTACTGCTACTGTAGCATGGTTGCCCAAGGGCCACACCATTCCGAAAGAAGCCGGAGTCATTGTCAGGAGCAGAAATAAAGATGACGACTCAGGTCACTCTGTCTACGGAACTGACGGCTGCAGCGAGAACAGCGGACACAATATGACGCTCTGTCAGACTTGGTTGCCCGATGGCCACGGTCGCACATGTGACGTCTGAAACCAGGCACTGACTTGAATTGCCGATTGCATGTCAAACACAAGAGAGAAACATGGACGCTGAGCGGAATAGATGATGCCGGCGCGGACACTTTCGATGGTTCCAGGGGCAAACAATGATGCACGCGCAGGCCACCACGAGAGTGAAACCACCTTCTGCATGTACCACACTGCACAGCACCACGCTGATCCTGGATGGGGAGACTTTGCTCTGCGCCACATTTGTGCCTTGTTTGTCACCTGGCTGGCGAAACGACCGATGGCAGATAAGACAGTCCACCCGCCAGGCAGACCTATCCTGAGCAACCTCATACCAGGCCAGACACAAACACGCACCACACACACGCACAAACGTGCGTGTAAACAGTGACTAAACACACACACACACACAAGGCACACACATGATCGCACGCCTGCAGACCATCGCTCCAATGAAGATAAGATTACTACTTCTTTGCGTAAATATGTTTGAGATAGAGTGTCACTCTTAGATGTGACTGATGCCATCAACCAATGTCAAGGAAAAAAAATTCACGGTTCGGTTCGCGTCAGACTCGGCTAGAGGCCGAGTTTTCCGCATCCGTAGGAACGCCATCATCCTTCAAGGATCAAGGCGCAGATGCAAGGAAAGAATGTGTTCAATCTTCTTCTGCACACGTAGAAATCGGTTTGGGCATTTTCGATGATTTAGAATGTGAATATGACAATGTGACAGAGGCAGCCACAATTTACTGATTACTGTGCATTGATCTAGCTATATACACTGCAAGTGCACTGTAAATATTGTGTTACATGCACGTAGTTGTGAAGGGAGACAGTATACATGTTCATTCACCAATGACACACCTGTCAGACAGCAGGTTAGGGCTAGTCAAAGTTATGAAGGCACAATATACGATACGAAGGCACAATTTTGCGATGTACTTGAGTTTGTGAATATATAGTGGACTTTGTGTTCACACATACTCTACCAAATTGCCATGCACACCCTTGTAACACACACACACACACTTGAGCCTGGGGAGTATGATTGCTGTCAGACAGTGTTGCTTTCAAATGCTTATTCTCGTCAGGAGTGATGTGAAACACATACTGGTAAATATCAATCTCTAAAAAATGCATCCTAAATAAAACGCTCAAGCACTGAGTCTAGTCAGAGTGATAAGACAATAAATTGAAGGAATTTCTCAACAAAAACTCAGTGTACCGCTGTGATCAAGCCGTGGCAATAACTATAGTAGAGTTCTTGGTGGACAGCGATTACCATAAAGAAATAGTGAGATACTACAGTAGTACCCTCTACTGACACAATGCAACCACGTTGTCCAGTACATGTTCGAATCAAAAATACTTTCGTACATTCGTGACCATTTCAATTTATATTCAAGGGCGACCTCCACAATCCACTGGCTTCAGAGTCGATTTATCATTATAGAACGGCCATTCTTGACAAAATAGTCAGACAAATTTTGCGAAGGATGGCGTTCTACTGTGCACATGTGGAAGGGACTCGCCAAGTCACTTGAACCAATTCAACGAAAATACAAAATACTCAGGTTTTACACATTCACGTACCCGTCTGTGCCGTCCCCCATTCCTTCCAAGACATCCACATAGACTCCAACGCTTTTATTCTACTCTTTTTCCGAAGCCGACCATGGGCATGGGCAGTGCCTGCTGGAAGGGACATCCCAACACTTCTCTGACACTTGACAGGTGACAATTTCCACAAGTAAAAAATGCACCTCAAAAAAAGTAGCCAAGTGAAGGAGTGAAAAAAAAAAAGAAGAAAAAAGCTCACACTCTAGACTCGAGTACGAGAGTTTCGTACTCAGGCCATCTGCTCGAGCTGGACCCTTCGAACTGGAGTGCGCTACAAGCTCGCTACGCCAACTCCGCATGTCTTTACTCGAACGTAGGATGCGCGAGAACCTGCGCAAAAGACGAGTTTAGAAATAGGCGCGAGCCACCTTAATTTTCAACCAGTCTTAAAAGACTGGTTGAAGTCGGTAGAGGTACGGTATTTTTGTACATGTACGTGTGCGACCATGACGGCTTGGCTGGTTTCCACAAAATATCGTACATGATACTGTACTGTAAAATCGACGTTCCACAGAAATGGGTAGATCTGCGTTCGTTAACTACCATGTACCATCTTTTCTTTTTCCAACATCCACTCTACTCTACCAAGTAGACAAAAACAAACGCAGGCTAACATTTCATCGAACATGTATATTGACTGTATTCGATAGCCGTTACACGGTAGGTTGTGACTCGCCAATGTCCAGATATGGTTGCTGCTTCGATGCTAGCACAGGTTCTCAACCAGTGCAAGCATCAACATTGAGTATGCGGCTCTGGATCATCTTCCACTGAAGTGGATTGCTTTCCAAAGTCACGTGGCTTGAAATTTGCTTTTGAGGTGCAGCATCAAAGTCACTTCAGACGAGACCAAACTAAAACCACAACAAAATCTGAAACTACAGCTAATTATAGGGGATTCACACTATATTAAAACGGGAAAACCTGAGGTCACGGTACAAGGTAAAAGTTCAGACCGTCGGTTAAACCGAGTGTGGCCGTTCAAAGTTCAAACCCTTGGCCAGTTTTCTCTTGGCCATGAATTTGTGGCGGGGAATTAATTGAAAATCTGTACTGCATTTTACATTCTGTACTATGTTTCGCATTCGTCATGCACGATTATTGATTGTCCGCATGGGCACTGTCTGAAAATGCAGGCTGCGATGCACTCGTACAACTGGGGTTCGGAGTTCTCGCTAGGGATTGGTATTTTACTACTACAGCTGTACCTGGTTCTCACCAAAAGACAAGATCTATACACATGTGTATCGTATAGCCGTGGGACTTTTCCCTTGACAAACACCATGTACAAGTACAGCTGTACTGAGGATCACAAATTTTTCACGAGAGGTTCTTCCTCCCCCCAGTACCAGGGTTTCCATAGAAGCTAGAAGTTGAAGATCTTGTTGACAGATATCTTCTCGTGAGTTCCCTCCGAAATCGAGACGAAAATGTTTTCGAAGTGAAAAAGGGGGTTTGTGCGAACCCCTCCGTGTTTGTGCCTGCTTTTTGATACCTCGGCACTCCCTGGTTGCATTCGCCACGGGAAACCCAATGCGGGCAGAGCTACACACCCTTGGCAGCACAAAGAAGCGCAGTGGTCTCCCCAGCTCAACTACACACTTCCAGTATAGACAGACGATGGTGTGTTCAGGGGGTACATCATGGGACAGCAGCCATACTCCGGCATCACATGATAGTGGTATTTACAAAGGCAGGTACTCATTCAAGTACATGTACTAAGCACGTAGTGTGTTTCATGAGCTTCACTACGATAACAGAATACACATTGTTTTATGTACAGCATGCAGTGAGTTTCATGAGAAGAAAAAAAAGCATTAACTATGTGTCCCATAATTTACAGCGCTCCACTGCTACTCTGTTTCCATGGCAGCCGGTGCTTTTCTCGTGACTTTTCTCTTTGCTCTGGTCTTCTCCAGCATCTTCTTCCTGTCGATCACAGGGTTCTCGATCAAGTGGATGTGATCCTCGACCTCCTTGACGTGACGGTCGTCAGCCAACTTCTGACCAGCTCGCATTCTAGCAGAACAAAAGAAAACGAAAAAGAAAACGCCCCAGTCAGACCCGCACTGTGTTCAAGGTGACAGCCCCGTGTTATGTATTTCCAAGGTTCACAGTGTCGCGTCTTGTTTTCCAAGGAGGTTCAATGGCCGGCACTGTAAAAGTGGAAAAAAACTCAGGGGTCGGAATATTTCGGAGGCTCTTCGCTTGAAAATACTTGGTGCGGCACCGCCATCGATTGTCAGACAGCGATCATAGTAAAGAGTCAGTTTTAATAGGCACATTGTACGTGCAAGTGAACCGAATTAAAAACATCTAGCAACTCATAGCCTCTCCAGTTGGTAACAAAACAGCAAGGCACTAGCACATGATACCGCCTGCTACAATTTATTTTCTCTTTCGCTCCAGGGGAGAGATACGAATCGTTTTTGTCATAGCTCCAGTTCTACTCACTCTAACTTCACAATCCGGGGCTTCCTAGAAAGGTCTTAGCGAGAGGAAGAGAATGAGGTTGACCATGATAGCCAGGACACAATATATCCAGCACCAGAGAGCAGCGACTGCACGAAAAACGGCCCAAAGGCGTCCAGTTGCGTCCTGCTCCAGCCATTTCGTTTTTCTCGATCACTGAGCTCTGATTTTTTCGCTGTGTACTATTGAGAATATCACAAGTGAAACCTGTGCTAATTTGAGCAAATCAGTGAAGTAGAGTAGTTCGCCTCTCTCTCCACAAGTATTTGATACCATACTGCACTTTTATTTATTGCTTCAAGTTATATATTTTGAATTTGTACGTCGTGTTCTTCATTTTGAGACTTTGCTTACCGTTCTGTTCTTCTATCCATACTCTGCATTCCCCGCGCCTGCTCTGTTCCTTTCTTCTCTGACTCACTGACTGTCAATTTGTCTAGTTTCAAATTGTTTCATCGTCTGCCAGATCGTAGAGATCGTTTCCTGCATCGTAGCTCACGGTTACTTTTCGAACACATTTTTGCGTAGGCATTTTCACGAGTTGTGTTGACGTCATGCCCTATCAGCTACGCGTCATTATTGCAAGCATGCGCATTCCTTTTGCCTTCTGCCTTATTTGCATGCTGCGCTTGCTGCAAAGGTTAGCGTCCCCACGCTTGCTGGCCGAAGCCCCATTGACCGCGCCGCGTGCGTACTCGCACACGTCAGCCGGGCTTCTCCACGTCGCCTTGCCCCGCCCCAGCCGGTTCCGTGGAGTTCCGGTTTTATTTCTCCTTGTTGATTAGCTCTCCCAAGATTGAGTTGTTGTTTTCTATATCCTTACCTAACTAATTCATTTCCAAGTATCAGTCCTTTTATTTACACTACTGTCAGAGTCCGCCGTTGTGAGTGCTGTGTGCATGTGCGGAGTAGTAGTGGTGAATAATTGTTGTGCGTGCGTTACACAACAGAGTGGTGCCGAAACCCGCCTTGGATTTGAGGATCGTTGGGTCGTTCGTCTTGTAGTGTTCACCTGTGTTGGTGTGTTTGTGGCAGTGGTCGGTGCCCGTGCTTGTTTCCCGCAAGCTGTTATACTAGCGTTTAGTATCGTTATTCGTAATGTGTTCTGTTCAGTATGAGTCTCAAGCTGGACAATTTCCTTCGTCCCTTCAAGGGCAAGGGGGACGATTTCAATGCATTTCGCTCGAAATTTGGTGTGTTGGCCAAAATATCAAAATGGACGTCGGACGACGACAAGATGAAACACCTTCCGCTCTTTCTGGACGGCGACGCGTTTCTTGTGTATGATCGATTGTCAGACACCGACAAGGCAGATCCGGATGTTGTGTTCGGCAAGTTGTCATCTGCGTTCGCCGTGACGAAGTCGCAGGCACACGGCCTGTTTGTACAGCGTAAGCTGAAACCCGATGAGTTGGTGGACGCGTACGTCGCCGATCTGCTGCGGTTGCTGGGCCTGTCTGGTCACAGCGCGACTGGTGATGAGGATACTGTCGTGATAGAACAGTTCATCAGTGGGTTACCCGTAGAATTTATTCAGCCCCTGCGCATGGCCACTGCTGGGAAGAAGTTGAAAGTGTCTGAGTGCGTGGAGCAGGTGCGTGCTCTACAAGCTATGCATGCTGATTGTACACGCAGTCCGATGGTGGTCGCCAGTGCTGCAACTGGAGGTACTGGAGGTGCGTCCCGCAGCGTATTTTGCCACCAGTGTCACGAGCCTGGACATATTCAGCGGAACTGTCCTCGCCAAAAGAGGCACCATGATCGGTATGGCGGTGGAGAACGAACATGCTTCTTCTGCGACAAGCCTGGCCATGTCAAGTCTGAGTGTCCGGAGCGCAAAGCTTGGATGGCGGCTTCCGCTGGCAAATCTGCTGCCGGGGTGTCAAAAGCTGACAAGAAAGTCCCAGTCCTGTGCATTTCAAGTGCCTCTGGTCCTGGCACCCTCCCGAGAATGCATGCGGACGTACGTCGTTGTGGTGTCAAGTGTAACTGGGAACGTGTCACCGCTGTTATTGACAGTGGGTCAACCCATACACTGATCTCTGCTAGCTGCACCTCAGTACTGCCCGCCAACTGCCCGGTCGATCGCACGTCGAATGTGCTCGTTGCCTTGGATGGCCAACCATTGCCTGTCGTTGGGACTGTTCACCTGACGCTGAAACGTACTGACGGCCCAGTCCGTCTCTCACCAATCGAGGTTACAGCCACTGTCGTCAAGAGTTTGGATGCTGTGGATGCCTCCGTGCTCATCGGGACAGACCTCATTGCTGCAGCTTGTGGTCTCAGCCTACAGTACGACGATGACAACTTATTGTGTGGTGTCCGTTTCGGTCAGGCCGTGACTGCAGCCGTTCCAGGTACTCCTCCGATGGTGCATCCTTCTCTGTATGTGTTCGTAAGTTCTGATGGTGATGACACTGTGTTGCATACGGATGATGGTGAGGCCAGATGGCGCGCAGACAAGCAGTACTGGGAGGTGAAATGGTCCTGGAAAGATGATGGTGCACCCAGCGAGCCTGTCGGCCATATATTTCCACAGATGTTTTGGGCATGGCCCATCATCAGGGTGAACACTAACGAGTGATTCAAAAAATGTTTAGTCTCTATTACTCAGACCAATACCTTTCATATGAAGTTTGGTAGGTTTGTTCGTGAAGCAAAACGTGAAACCAGAGCATGTGACGCATAGGCTGTCGGGTTTGTGGACGTGGCCAGAGACGGAGTTTGAGTGTATACCGCTGACACGTGCTCCCCTGCACGTCTCCTCACTTTAATAACGTCATACCAATGGGCGCACGTGGCAATGCAAGCGTGGATATGTCTGTAGTGCCCGGCGGGAAAACAAGGGTCGGATTTCGCTATACACAATTATTGTAGAAGTACAAATTTTCATTCACGAAATCTTTCGTTAGATCACTCCACCAGCCGGCTTGTTACGTACTAAATTTCGTTTTTGGTCGAGGTCTGTCAACCCGAAAGTTCAGAAAAAAACACTTTAGTTTGGTATAGTCAGACCTCGCTTATCCGGTCCTCGTTTATCCGGATCCCTCGCCATCTGGAAGAAAATCGCTGGTTACCGATGTGCATCATACGTTACGCATACAACATAACCGAACCTCGCGATCCGCATACCGGTGCATGATTGTGTGTGCAAACTGGTCGAAATATGTACAAAAAGCTTCGTTGCATCCGGTCGCACGTGGCTTGCAGAAGCTAGAATCGGGGAGTTGTACAAACAAATGAGGTCCTTGACCTGCTGCATGCATGTGGATAGCACTCAGTTGAACGTACTTGTCACTTTTCTCGCTTGTTTTTTTTACATATTTTGCACGTTAGTTGTTCTGTATAGGACCCAGAGTCATGTATGTACGATGCCGCCCATTTTGATGTGCCACATGCATGTACAGTATGTGTGTTCAGTTATCCGGTTCCCTCGCCTATCCGGATATTTTTGTGGAAAACGGATGTGTGCGGTTAAGCGAGGTCTGACTGTACAACAAACTTTAGTTATTTCGCGCCCCCTAACGAATATAGCGAAAGTTAATTCCAAACGAAAGTTTGTACTTATACAGTAGTTAACTGCTTCCTTTCAGTGCTGTGTAATACAGCTAATGCTAGAACCAACTAATCAATCAGTATAAGAACCAGGCAAGAAGGTAACAGTACCTTGGCATAGCCAAACTGTGTGAAACAGAACTAGGAACATACCTGTTCTTGATAAATTGCGACTGTCTGCGGCCCTTCACTTGCTCAATACGTTTAATAGAGCCCACTGGAAGGAAAACAAACACAAGCATATGGACACAGAGCTCCTTTATATTACTACATGTAGTAGATGAAGAGCTGACAGTGACTACATGGTGCTGGTGGTGTGAGGTATAATAGCAGTGGGAACTACAGAATCATGGTCTGCAAGATAACTGCTTATGGAATGGGCGGCCCTTGGTGACGTTCTTCAAGTTCAAAACCACACTCCAGGCACGAATAGAGGTGCTTGAATTCGAACCTCAAATTTCCAGGCCCCAACTTCTAAATATCCGAAATTTCTAATGATTATTATCCAAGTGCAGCCCACATGTACAGATGCGTGTGTCAAAACGCTCAAAATCGCACGCTGGTTATTTTGCACATTATAATCACATCAGCAACGTATGGTTGGTCAGGTATAACAAACCAGGCATGTATTTTCAATTTTTCATCAAAACACTGGACACAATGTCATTGGACATTATCTTCATGTTTTAGTGAAGAAGTTGTCAGTCACTGCTGCTGTCCTGAAACGATTCCGACAGGAAAGAAAAGCGCAGCCTAATCCCCACGACGAAAGCTTGTCGGAGAGCAGCACTTCGTTCTGAAGAACGCAAGTGAAGCATAGACACGGCATTTTTATGACGTCCAGTCAACAGTTTTGTTCACAAATATCTCCGCGCAGGGGCTAACGAGGCAATGAAAAGCCACGAGATCCACGACAGGAGTCAACCATCTGAAAGAAGCCGTCTTCAATCAAACCTTTGCACTTTGACTCGCACCGGCTTGAATCAAATTTCAAGACAAGGCAGGTTTCGTTAGCTTAACGTTACTGTCGATCCCGGAGCGAACCAGGGATCGATTTTTGAGTTACCCTTGGCTAGAGGAGGAGAAAACAATGAACTTCGACTTTCAGGACAGCAACGCCATCTCACTCCAAAACAAAAGCTCGAAGGACATAGTCACCGTACTGTAAACTACCCTTCTGTATGATGACAGAATTCAAATTATCCAGCGGGCCCACATTTTATACTTCGCACAGCGCATCCAAATTTGACTTGAAGTGACTTGCAGACGGTCGGTACGACAAAACGTTTTGAATTGTATGGAATATTCAGATTAGAGAAATCTACCCGTATTACGTTTCTGCATTCCCATACACCTGGCAGAGCTGTGCGGCGGAAACAGAAACACTGCTGACTCTGCATGTTCCATGGAATACCTGAAGCAGCTCAAGAGCCTCAAGTTCGTGTCGCAAAATGTTGCTTCACTGGCTGCGCTGCCAATCAACCTGAAATGCAAGTCCACTGGCCCCCAGTTTGTGTGATCCGATCTCTAAGGTCACTCTCGCCTACTTGATGGAACTCTTGCTGATCTTGACTTGAGCAAGGACTCGGCACAGCAAGACTGACTGGAGGTTTTGCTTTAGTGAGTCACCCTTTGACAAGTCTTGCGACTACTTATCGAAGACTATGCAATATGACAGTATCCCTGTTGAACACGTACACAACTATTACCTGCATCTAGCCATAGACACACATAGAGCGCATAAAACAAACCTGTTTTAGTCCAGAGTTGTCTGTTGTATTTAACTGGGACATCACGTTTTCGCTCAAATTCAAATGACGGATCCTGAGCACACATGAGAAGATGAGCATAACAGATAAACACACATGCACCCATACGCAACCACACACACCCATACACACACCCATACACATCATCATGATACATGAAGTAGAGTTTGTTACACACTGCTAGAAGCAGGATCGTAGTCAACAACAACATACGGGGTCGGTCAGCTGGTTATAATTTACTTCGAGGTCAAACATTTACAGTATGGTACCGCATCAGATAGTCAGTTCTACCATCTACTTCCACCATGCACACACAAACTGCCAAAGCCATTTTCGGCTGCATTGCAGCACCAACACTGCGGACAAAATAGCACAATGACAGTTGGGCATCCAACATTTTTCGGCCATTTTCGACTAAAATCCGGTGCTCGAATGGACGACAACTGGATGACAAAGCAATAGCTTTTTGTAGAGCTGCCAGAAGCTAAACCAAATCATGGCCACCAAAAGTGATGTTGCTATGGCAAATTTGTTTTACAAAAAGCCTCTCACCATCTGAGGGACTGCGCAAGATCGCCGGGGATAGTGGTCTTCATGTCAGAAGTCAGATAAACGGCCACCGGGGTGTATATTCCGTGCCCCAGTCTTCGTGTACAAGAATATTCAACCGTCCTGGTGATCTCAAGCACGACATGCCTTTCTGCAAGTTTCACTGACGGAACCGCAGCTATCATTATCACCAAGAGTGCATAACCCCCAAGAGTCTGCAACTCCACTATAGGTGCTGTCCCGACAGAATTTCAAGTTGACGTCATTTTTTATGATGCAATACACAGTGCACACGTATTATCAGACATATCCTGCACCTGTGGTGGACAAATCCCCATTTGATCCTGTACAAACTAGTTCAAGGAAACACGTGTGATGCGTTGACATATTGCACAAAAATCGTAGATCACTCGCGCGACGAGCATTGCATCATAAAAACGACATCAACTTCAAATTCCGTCGGGTCAGCAGGGTATGTGGGATTTACACTCTTGCTATCATGTGGCACTTACACATGGGCATCCAATGTCAGGGTCAAGGTCGAAGTGTGAGCGAGTGTGTGTGCAAGAGAGAGAGAGAGAGAGAGAGAGAGAGAGAGAGAGAGAGAGAGAGAGAGAGAGAGAGAGAGAGAGAGAGAGAGAGAGAGAGAGAGAGAGAGAGAGTGCGAGAGAGAGAGAGAGAGAGAGAGAGAGAGAGAGAGAGAGAGAGAGAGAGAGAGAGAGAGAGAGAGGAGAGAGAGAGGGAGAGAGGGAGAAAGAGAGAGAGAGAGAGAGTGTGTGTGTGTGTGTGTGTGTGTACATGTATGTATGTGTGTGTGTGTGTGTGTGTGTGTGTGTGTGTGTGTGTGTGTGTGTGTGTGTGTGTGTGTGTGTGTGTGTGTGTGTACATGTATGTGTGTTTGTCTTTGTGCTTGAATGTGTGTGTGCATGTGTATCTCCTCTTCCTTGCGATACATCTCAGCCATTTATAGAACAAACAACTTATCCAAATACTACTAGACTATACTTCCCACAAACGCAGACAGTCTCACTTATTTCTCATACTAGTAACAATTAGCATGATCATGCAAGAGACTTACCACTGCCAACTCCTTGCCAGCAGACTTTCTGAAAGCCTTTGTCCATCTAATCTTACGTGGGTTACGCTTCTTCTTGAAAGCCTTGTGGCATTTTGACCGGCAGAACCGGAAAACCTACGATAACACACGAACATCCGAATAGCCTGTCAGGCATGTGGACAAGATGAATATAATTTTCTCAGCTAATCAATTGCATACTTTGCAGTCGTTTCGCACGAACTGTATGCCGTGTCCAGGATAAATGCTCGAGGAACAGAAGTAACACTTCTCAATCCTCATGATGCCACGGTGTCACCACCTGGCGGTGGGTTGTCCTCTCAAAACTTCTCAAACAAACAAAATCTTGACCTGAAAACTTTTCGATCTACGAAGTCTTTCCTCCTTGCACCTTGGACGGCAACAATCAACGAAAAAAGCAACACGCTGCCGAAAATGTGAAAAGATCGACGCCATTATTGTACGTTGGTATGGTTACTTCATCTGTGACGTCACGTTGATCAAAAGGGGAAAATCCAAAGCAGACGCTGCGGCGGAGGCCCCGAGAGCGAAGCCTGCCGAAGGCACAGAGAATCCAAAAATAAAAATGACTATGTCCTATTTCAAAGAATTTCAAAACACAAATGACCAAATTTTGTCATGAGGAAGAAGGAGCTGATTCTACTTCTCTGTGTTCTCACGTTCCAGACGATCGGTACGTGCATATTTCTTTCTGGATTTCTCTTGAAGAGAACTGTTTTGCCGGATTTCAGCGCTTGTCGCAATGGATCGGGGAAGCCTGGCTGTCTTCTTCCCAAACGCTTCAGTCGTGCGGTATTGCTGATCATCGACGCACTTAGATTTGACTTCGTTGTCAGTGATCATAATATCAATGCTGAGGAGTTGTTGCCCTATATGAACAAGATGCCTATCATTGAAGCTACTGTGGAGGAGCGGCCAAACAATGCCAAATTGTTCAAGTTCATTGCTGACCCACCTACCACTACCATGCAGCGTCTGAAGGGCTTGACCACTGGCAGTCTACCTACTTTTGTGGATGCTGGGAGCAATTTTGCAAGTAGTTCAATCACAGAAGATAGCTGGCTGCATCAGGCGTCCGTGCTGGGCAAAAAACTGTACTTCATGGGAGATGACACCTGGATGCAGCTATTCCCCGAATCGTTCACAAAGAGCTGGCCCTTTCCATCACTCAACGTGAAGGACTTGCACACCGTAGATAATGGTGTTCTAGAACACCTAGTGCCCCAGATCCGATCCGGTGACTGGGACATACTGATAGGTCATTTCCTCGGGGTAGATCATTGTGGCCACCGCTTTGGCCCCTATCACCCAGCCATTGGTGAAAAGCTCCAGCAAATGGATGCCATGATTCGCTCGGTAATGGCCGAGCTGTCAAATGACACCGTTCTACTGGTCTTTGGTGACCACGGCATGACGCGCAGTGGAGATCATGGTGGTGACAGCGCCGACGAGGTGTCCTCGGCACTGTTCGTTTATTCACCGTCGCCTATGAGCTCTGGTCAGAGAGCAGATTATGTTCCTGTAAGTAGATTGCTAAGGACGGCATGCATGTATGAAGATTGTAGTCACAGACATCCTACACTGTATTACATTGGATGGAACAGATTGAGTTTTGCTGCTTCAGTCACCTCTCCTGCCAGCGATTGAACTCTGACGTTTTGATCGAGGCCACTGCAGTTGCCTGTCTGCCCTTGAAGAGATCATGGTCAAGATACATGCAAACCCAATACCGTACTCGCGCGATTAGTGCCCCTGGGGCACTATTTTTTCAATGTCCATCATGGATGGGGCAGTATTCAAGAGAGGGCACTATTCAAGAGAGGGCACTATTTTTTCATTGCTGGTTCGTTTGCGTCATCCAGCATAAAACAAAGAAAAACAGAGCCTAAAGTGTACTGTAAACGCTCACGACTCCACAGAAACGGGAACAAGACTTGCGATTTTGTTCCTGAAAACACCAGTGCAAAGCAATGGCCAAGAACATTGAGAGGGCTTTATTTTTCACTGGCTCTTGGAGACTAGGGCACTATTCGAGACAGGGCACTATTCAAGAGAGGGCTCTAATCGCGCGAGTACAGTATATGTACAGTATATGCATAGTGTATCACTTTCATTGTTCTCATTAGTGCACGTAGAAGCACATGTACATAGCTGCTCCATGGAATCCGACCGCGCGAGTCTATTTTGCGCCCTGCACCAGTGTTTACAGCCACAGGTCTAGGGCTACACAGCGCCCTGCCCATACTTGACTCAAGCGATCGGATTTCACTGAGGAGCACTATCCTGCTGCTAGTATTGGGAAATCAGTACATGTATACACATGTACCTCTGCTGTGCTTTTTGTGTGTGCTTCTTGTGACAGGGCCTGTACAAAACGGTCTCCCAGATTGATTTGGTTCCAAGCTTGTCACTTTTGCTGGGCCTTCCGATCCCGTTCAACAATCTTGGCCAAGTTATTCCAGACTTATTCGAGCAGCGTGCGCACTCGAGCATGAATGAAGCGCACACAAGAGAAGAAAGTGACTCATCTGTTGATCAGAGAATCATTGCCCTCCTAGAAAATGCAAGGCAAGTGGATGAGTACTTACGCACGTACAGTGCCACCTCTTCTGATCTCCCCGGTGTTGAACTCCAGCGTCTGACGGAGCACTTTCAGGCTGTACGCAGGAAACTGCTGACCTTGTCAAAGGACAAAGCCGGCGATCAGGACACCTTGGTGGCTGAGCTTCAGAGCTATATGAACTCCGCTCAGGCGTTGTGTCGACAGGTGTGGGCCCGGTTTGACATTCCTTTCATGTTGCTTGGCCTTGTCCATCTTCTGGTTTCCGCTTGCATTGCTTTCCTGATTCCTTTACGAATTCAACTGGGAATGTTCACCAGTAAGACTGCTGTAGAATGGCAGTTTCTTCGACTTATTCCATTGAAGAGAGTCAGCATATCCTTCATCATAACAATGGGAATGGTCTGCTTGCTTTGGAGTTCTTCGGGTGACCTGAGCCTTACATCATTTGTGCTCGCTGCAGTGCTGGCTCTCTCAGTAAGTTTTGTTGTTGCGCTGGCTAACGATATGAGCTTAGGTAGAATTTTGCAGCCCGGTATCCAGCTTTGTAACGCAACCTGGGTACCTGATATTTGTGCCGTGACCTTCACTATGGTGCATGCTGGTGGCTTCATGTCGAATAGCTTTGTTGTTCAAGAGGACAACCTCATGTTATCATTTAGTCAGCTGCTCCTCATCATCTCCTGGTGTTCAGGATTGCCTCGACTCAGGAAAGGAGACCGACCCATGGTAACTAAACGTTTCTTGTCATCTCTCCTTGTTGTTATGATCAGTTGCCGCATTGCTGTTGTCTTCCGTGGATGCAGGGAAGAGCAATCTTGGTGTCAGCCGTCTTCGTTTCTGCTTCACTATTCAACAACATTTTCGCACATTGGCTTCAGCTTGGCCATGTTACGCTTGGTCTTGGCTTGCTTGGTCGTTGCCCTTGCGCCTCTCATGGTAAATTTGATGTGCATCAGGAGACTTGACTCAGTGGACAAGCGCTTTCTTGGTCTTCTTGTGGCAGCTTCAGTATGCGTCTGCGGGCACTTCTGCTTGCAAAGCCTTCCGCTATCTATCTTGGACAGGCTTTATGGCTGGCAGCATGTGGCATTGCCACGGCTAGCGTTTCTGTTTGTGATTGCGGCGTTCATCTACATGTGGCATGGCGGGCACCTTACTACTGGTGCTAAGTTGTCTCAGGGTAAGTTACTCATGGATGTAGAACGGAATCTGCCATTTACCCTACTGCTGCTGTTATTGCGGCCTCTCCGTTTCCCTTTGGTCACGATGTGTGTGTGTGTGTGTTTGTGTGTGTGTGCGTGGTGTGGTGTGTGTTATTGCTTTTGGATAATGCAATATGTAATGGGTGTGTCGTCAGGTTGATTTCTGCACTGAAAGGAAGTATCTTTTGAAAACATGGTTACGAGATTGACTTGTTGATTGCACGTGGTAACATTTACAGTAACAAAAGTGTAGTGTTCAGTGTCGAAATTATCCCGGCAACATAATTATCCTGTCATACAAGTGTCCCTGTTTTGTCACTACTGTGCCCTGCATTTCTGAGGACATTTCAGGCATAAGCAAGTAACTTCTTCTTTTGCCTTTTTGTATGCCCTGTTTCCTCTTCACAGTATGGTACACCTTGCTTTCGGCAGTCTGGATTCTGCTAACAATGGTTCTTGGCGATGGTCTGGTTTTTGCTAGCTGTGCTGCGCTACTTTCTGTGACAGTGGGCTGCCGACTTGTCAGCTTCCAGTCATCAGGTATGCGCTTTAGAGAACCAAAGAACTGCTGCCTCCTGACTTGGTGTTCCTAGGTGAGCCTGGTGCATGTACACATCCTAATCCCATCCTGTTTCCGGTTGTCTTTTATTCGTTTTCTGTGCTGTCATCCTAAATTACAGTCAGTACATGGACAAAGGCTGCTCTCTGGGCAGCCCTCAGCGGACATTTCTTCTTCTCCACGGGCCATCAGTGTGACCTACCCAGCATACGCTTTGATGCAGCGTTTGTAGGGCTGCATGGTGATCAGCAGGCGTTCGTTGCAGCTGGCGCTCTGGTTCTTCTCAACATGTTTGCATCACCGGTGAGATTCATGTTGTGGGTAATGCAATACTGCACCGGTGGTGGTGGCATCCACCAAGCAAGAGCTGGCTGAACACAACAGCTCAAGTCTGTACAAAGTGCGTCGTACATTTGAAGGGCTTCATTGCAAGACGAGATAAATCCGTTTTGACCAGTTTTCAGGAGGAGCTATTATCTGTGATCAAAAACTGGGTGGGTTTGGGTCAAATCTAACTTAGCAGATCAGAAGAGTAGGGTGGTGTATGCAAATACAGGCTTTCTCAAAAATCAGAGGCTATACATTTTCTCAAGCAAGGTGATTCTTCAAAAAAATTCCAAAGCCAGTTACCGGTATATCCGCCGGACTAATCAGCATTATTACTTTTTATTCCCGTAGCTATGCAGAAGACGTTACTTCAGTGACGTCTGGCGCTAGCCAGGGTCCACACAGCTTTAATTTGGTATTTGTGTGTTTGTTTGTTTGTGTCACGCCTGGCGCTATCCCGTATCTGTCCCGTACCGTACCGTACCATCAAACACAGCTGGCCACATACAGCTGGCCGCAATATTCAAATAGGGCTTTCAAACGCAAGATCATAACGTGAAGCAACTAATTACTTGGAAGAATAGGTATGAATGCGAAGTGTATGGGGGAATGCATGTAGGGCGATAGTGCGGGTTCGAATCCCAGGATATCCCTGAAAAAAAATAGGAGAATTGAAAAATTTATAACATCCCTATGCTCTTTTTGCCGTCATCAAGGCGGTAGACGGTGTCGTATTACCCTCGATCGTACCTGTCCCGTACCGTACCGTACCAGCAAAGACGGCTGGCCACAATGCATATTCAAATAGGGCTTTCAAATGCAAGATCATAACGTGAAGCAACTTGGAAGAATTAGTATGTATGCGAAGTGTATCGGGGGATGCATATAGGGCGCGAGATAGTGCGGGTTCGAATCCCAGGTTATGTCTTTAAAAAAAAGGAGAAATTTATAAGAATTTATAACATCTCTATGCTTTTTTTGTCTAGGTCATCAAGGCAAAAAAGCATAGCGTAGGGCCCTGAGTTTCCAAGCTCTCTCGTTATGAGGTTAGAAATACCAGTACAACGACTCCACTGAGCTCGGAATTCTGAAGGAGCTCAGCAGCAGCAGCGTCGTCCATCCCTGACGCCTCTAGCATACTGCCCTTTGCAGTTTCGAAAGCGAGAAAAATAACCGCTACGATGAAGAAGATACGAAAAGAACAAAATGGCAACGCGGGTGTAGCTGCTAGAAAGCAATAACCAGGGGAGTCGTAAAATACCGGTATTTTACGACTCCCTGGCAATAACACAAAAACACTGTGCTTTAAACTCTGACATGGACATGTTGCACAGTCGCGATGTTTGCCTTGTGCTGCGCCAGCACTCGCTGACTTAACCACTTGTCACATGCACAGGGCACCCTGCCCGCGACAGGATATGTCGCTGACTTTGCTCAAAAACATCGGTGGAGCCTTCTAGACAAAAAAACCCACAAACAATTCGTCTGTGCTGCTTTCGTGTGAACTAACGTTGCAATACATTGTATGAGACTTCGTGGGCATTCTCCACGTGCCAGTGATGCATTCTTCTGTGTGGATAACATTCTCAGATTGGTGATTGTCTGCATGCTTCCACACCAGCCACTTGGGTGGACGACTATAAGATCTTCCATGTGACTATCCTTCCTGTCACTAAGTGACTTTATTTTTATCCATAGGTCCTGTTCACTTTGGCCATTCCCTTGGCTTGTCGGATAAGACTCAAGCCCGATCACAGCAGTGCCGATAAGGAGCAGACACCAATGAGGAGCAACAGCAAAAGTGTAGCAGTTGTGTCGAGTGATGCACCGGCGATGCTATTCTACTTTGTGTTCTATCATCATGTGATGGTAAGCTTGTTGATTCTGCCAGTCTTGTACCAGTGCTGTGCTCTCTGGTTGATATAATTTACATTAGCTGATGAATGCTCAGTAGGGAGTCGTAGCATCCAGGGAGACGGCATGAGATCATAGTGCCCAGAAAAACTACTTGTGTTTCGACCCCAGATTTGATCGTTCTACGTGATCCCGTGGTCTATGCAACTCACGATTGTGGCCTTGACCTGCGGACCCCAAGCATGGCGCAGACAAGCGATGCCATACATGTATGCAAGCATAATATAAATTGGCCCTGCCCCAAGGGTGGATTTAACGGGCAGCCCCGGAGCGGAATCCACAGCCGCCCGTGTTGTCTCCCTGTATTCTACGACTCCCTGATGCTCAGTAGTACCGGTAGGTGCAATGAGCTCCTTGATAAAATTAATGTTAGTGTAAGGTTCTCGGCACGCACAAGAAGATGGATCGACGAGGTTCTGGCTGAACAAGCGGTCACGTGCTCCTGCGTACACCAGTCACCTGGTCACCGCGCCAGCAGGCGACAACTTTCACACCAAGGTTCAAATCAAAAGTTCAAAGGTTCGACTCGAGTGACAGAAACTCGCTCAAACATGCTGTAAGTTGTAGCCTGCAGGCATGGTGACCAGGTGACTAGCGTACGCACGAGCCCGTGACCGCTTGTTCAGCCATGTTCGGTTGGGAATAAGGGCCGAACGCTACATCGCAGCCTTTTCGGACCAAAACCAGTCGACTCAGCGTCCAAAAGACTACAACATATGGGCCAATCGCGGTCATCCGTGCTTTTATGAGAACGAAATGGCGCTTTTAGTGACATTTTGCATACAAATCCCCATCTACAGTCAACTTCGCTAATAACGACTGCTGATATAACGACAATTCGCGAATAACGACATAATTTTCATGCTCGGAGCAAAGTCCCATCCAACTGTGACACATAAAGTGACATATAATGAGACTTCGGATATAACGACACTTCGCGAATAAGGACACTTTTCTGATGCCCCGCCGAGTGTCGTTATAGTCATCCTAATAAAGATATTATTATTATTATAAGCGAAGTGGACTGTAGTAGGGCGCAGTCACCCAGTTTCGGTAGAAGTTTAGTGGGTTGCTTTTACGCGTGCCACTAACTCACGCGGCTTATGATGTTCGAAATCCCCAAATCCCCTGGTCGACAGAAAGCACTTGAGTAAGCTAGAATTTAGCTCATAGCAGGACAAATTATCTCAAACATCTCCCATCAGAGAGAAGAGAAACAAGAAGTCAGTAAAAACTCTAAAGCATGGCCACAAAAGCCACCAGTCAAAGATTACAGAAAAATACACACTGCGGAAAAGGGCACAACTTTTGTACGCACGAGCTATCAGCATGCCAGCAGTGCGTACCAACTGCATGGGGGGGGGGGGGGGGGTCTGTGTGCCATGTGCCAAAAACGGAAAGGTGAGAAAAGGAAATGCGTATACGGAAATGGCACATTTACGTGCGTACAAGTATGCATGCCTGTAGACGCGTAGACGTGGAATATAAATGTGGGCATGATAGTAGTGTGCAAAAATCCATTCCGGCCGGTCATGTGATGCCTTGAATCACAACAATACTCCCCCACCAGTATGTAAGAGGAACGAAATGCAAACGATAAGGAAAGCAAAATAAACCCCGAAGTACTAATACATGTACTGGAAAACAAGAAAGAAGCACAGCTTGGGACTGCTGGACCGGGACGATGCAGGAGTACTCGCTCTGGAACGGCCACGATGGCTCCTCATGTTGTCCATGGAGGTCGTTAGTGCGGCGATCTGGGCCCGGAGCTCAGCGATCTCCGAGGCGGCACTGGGGGCAGAAGGAGCAGCAGCAGGAGCAGCAGCAATGATTGGTGTGGGTTGGGCCACTTCCAGCACTCTATCTGCCATATCAGCCAGCTTATCCAGGGGCAGGGAGTCTGAGGAGGAAGCAACTACTACTCGCACATTGGAGGGGAGACGCTGGATGAACAGCTCCTTCAGAACCTCAGCATCCATAGTGCGGTCTCCCAGGAGTTGCTGCATGCGCCGAAGCAGTTGTGAGGACTTGCAGTCGCCCAACTCCTCCTTTGTCAGCAACTGCTGTAGGCGTTGCTGTTGGGATGTCTGGGTGCGACGAACCAACTCCTTCTTCAATGTGTCATAAGGAGTGGTCGGCGGGGCTTCCAGGAGCAAATCACGGACCTCCATGGCGAATTCTGTGTCCAGAGAAGCAACAATATAATCGTTTCGGGTGCGCTGACTCGTTATTCCGCGCGTGTGGAACAGTGCTTCGACTTTGGCGAACCGAATAGCAGGATCCTTCAGCTAGTACGGCGGGAGCTTGAGGCTGACTGCGGCGACAGGCGGAGCCGGTAGGGTTGTCTGACTGAGACCCCCGGGCTGTCTATCCCCAGCGGGTGTGGGTAGAAGACTCACCGCGACCACGGCTCGTGGGGGTGCGAGTTTGCTCAGTCATGACGATCCAGGAGTGGGATTTATTGGGTTGGATAACAGAGCCTGCCCTAAACAGCCAATGCTTGAAACAGGGTCACCAATAGTGGGTTGCTTTTACGCGTGCCACTAACTCACGCGGCTTATAGTGTTCGAAATCCCCAAATCCCCTGGTCGACAGAAAGCACGTGAGTAAGCTAGAATTTAGCTCATAGCTGGACAAATTATCTCAAACATCTCCCATCAGAGAGAAGAGAAACAAGAAGTCAGTAAAAACTCTAAGCATGGCCACAAAAGCCACCAGTCAAAGATTACAGAAAAATACACACTGCGGAAAAGGGCACAACTTTTGTACGCACGAGCTGTCAGCATGCCAGCAGTGCGTACCAACTGCATGGGGGGGGGGGGGGGTGGTCTGTGTGCCATGTGCCAAAAACGGAAAGGTGAGAAAAGGAAATGCGTGCACAGAATTGGCACATTTACGTGCGTACAAGTATGCATGCCTGTAGACGCGTAGACGTGGAATATAAATGTGGGCATGATAGTAGTGTGCAAAAATCCATTCCGGCGGGTCATGTGATGCCTTGAATCACAACAGAAGTGCGCGAGTTTGATTGGGAAAAAAGGAGGAAGGAAGCATCTCAGCTTCCTCGGACCAAGACTATTCGACTCAGCACCCCGAAGACTACAACTGGTGAAAATGAGAGAGAGGCAGAGACAGAGAGAGCAAGTCGAAAACACGAGGCTATAATGGGCCTGGGTAGCTATAGCAATGAATGGATGAGAGCGCAAATGTAGCTACCCAGCTAGGCCAACGGATAATACGGGAACGAGGGAACTTGTGCAGGGAGATTGCGGGAGCAAGAACTTAGAGTATCGAGAAGCGGGAAGCGGAAAAGAGGTGCATGCAGTGTACGTGCAGATATGGGAGAGAGGGCCGGGAAAAGGTGCATACAGTAATTCATGTGTGGGTGGGTGTGTACATGCATATATGGAAGAGAGGTCATTAGTGTGTGAGTGCGTTAGTGGTGAAACGAATATACGGAATATTCGAATATTCGTTCGGTTTGTCACATTCAAACGAATATTTCTCATGGCGATTATTCGTAAACTCGGTATGCAGAGTTCACCGGGCGACTTCAAACTTCCGTAACTTCGCGAATACTTGACCGAATCGCTTCATCGAAAGGTCTAGCGGCATTAGAAAACGCTCGGCTGTCGTCTCGAAGCAACCCAAACGCGATTCGAGGTCCTGGAATGGAGGTATGTCGGTCAAACGAAAAGGCACGTCTCAACCTTTTTTTTAGCGTGTAACTTCAGCAGGGGATTTTGTGAAAATTGACAGAAATGATGGAGAAATATGTGCCTTTGTTTGTCATGCCTTAGTGACAATATCCAATAAAATGACTGAGAGGAGGGTGTGTGATGTCATCCGTGTTAACGAAAGAATATTCGTTCGTTAAGCCAAAGAATATTCGGCTACTGGGTTTTGATATTCGTTTCACCACTAGAGTGCGTGCATATACGGAATCGTGAACCTAACACTAGTTTGGGAACTGTGTGAGGGTGTGGAGGTGAGAGACGGACAGACTCAATGCAGACTCAATGCTTATTCGGTGCTTGTCCTCTTGCTTTCACAGCAAGCTTAGGAGACTTAAACGCTCCGTGAAGCATGTGTTCAATGATGTGTGTTCTCAAAATGTAACTTGTCTTGCCTTTTCTCCAGCTCATAGCAGCCGCAGTGGCAGCAACGGTTTTACGTCGGCATCTCATGGTGTGGAAAATATTTGCACCGCGTTTGCTGTATGCGGCTGTGTCTGCTGAGCTGGTATGTGTCCTGGGTGCTGTCGTATTTGCGTTGCTTCCTTCCTACTTGCCTCCTCCGCAATCTAGCTCCAGTGATGCACAACATGAGCGAACCTCTCACAGTATGTAACAAGCATGCGAATCATGATTATTATTATTATTATTACAATGAAGTATTTTCTGAATGAGCATTCAAGTGACTGATTCATGGAAGTGTGAGGACTATTCAGTTGGATGGGACCCTATCTGACCTACCAGTGCCCCGAAAATGTATCCCATACTTCACATACACCGGAGATAGTTATACATTGTGCACCCTCACCCACTGCACACCTTTCATGGAATGGCCACTTTTGGGTGTATCCCCTTGGTGCCACTGGATTTCTCATGGAGACAAGCACTTGGGCTGAGAGAGAGGAGTGACAGGACAAGATTCCTTGCATGGGCTTGTAGTACTAGTAGTAATGTAAAGTCGTTAGTCCCTTCTATTCTAGAATACTGTATCCTGTCACTTGCTGCTGAATGCCTACTTGAAGTGCTATGACAGTTTTTCCCTGTGCAGCATGGTATAGAAAGCTGTTGTAAAAGTGCTTCAGCATACTACATGTTCTGGCACTACCATGCATGGTGCTGTGTACTGTGCCACTGCACGTGCATGTCCGGTCTTGGTCTTACTACTATCAGCCCACGCATGTATTGGGCATACATCCATCGAAATAATACTGGCCACAAGTTTCCGGGAGGGAAAGTTCATGTAGAGATCCTACTTTTCAGCATCAAATCTTGTCTCCGCCAGCATCGTATTGTGGATTGTCATAATACGAGTGTCCAAACACAACTAGTAGTGATCAATGTATTGGTTGTCTGTTTTATCCACACTCTCACTTGAGTGTGCAGATGCCAAACAAATCTTGAGAACATGGCTACTCTGGAATAACTGTGTGTGCAGCTGGTGTCCAAATGGCTCTGTGTTACCAGATGTTATCCTTCTTCCTTCTGTTTTGTTGCCATGGCTGGCTAACACAGCTCCATTTAAATCACCTGTTTATGCTGCCATTGTAATAGATTATACACTGAGTATGAGATCTTTTGGAAGTCAATGCTAGTGACAACTACAGCACCCACAGTGCTTGACAAAGTTGTATAATTATGCGCATGAGATTGTGCAATAAAGTTGTGCCAGTAACAGATACCAGTACTGCACACGCTCCTTACGATAGTCGCATAACTCCCTGGCATATGCCCATGATCAGGAATTATGCGTCCAATTTTCTTCTGTGGGAGATGTGTCGACCGCAGGCTGTGCTTTGTTACTTGGTTTAATAAAATAGTTAGGTAGACCGTGACATCACTTCATCTGCGTCAGCTTGCATGCTGCCAGTGTAGCATGATGCATGAACTGAAGTACAGTAGTGTGATTGTACACAATGTACATGTATCAGTAGAGAGAGAGCGTACACTACATAGTCTGTGATTACCTAGGTGTGGAGCCGGAGCAGTCTTCATACTGTTGATGACTCATCATGATTGTAATACTGAATGTTGGCAAAGACATACATGGGTGGGATTTATCAGGGTTGATGAAGGACATCAATTTTGCGATTGCATGCATGGACTCTTTTTTCATTTACACCAAGTGGCACTGAAGATGACCAGTACACATTATGGAGATAAAAGCTGTCCCCCGTGAATTCCGCGGCAGAATATCAGAAGTTCCGTGCAGAATTCTGCGGCTGAAAACAGTAAATTCTGCGCTAATTCTGCAAATCCTTGTATATTCTGCAGCAATTCTGCAAGGAAAACGAGCGTAAAAACAGATCGAATTTCCGCAACCCCACCGAAGTGTGTTGTCCCCATAAATTCCGAACCAAAAATATGCGAAATCCTGGTCCAAAAGAATTGAAAACTCCACAATATACTGTAAGTTGACTTTGAAAGTCACAAGCAGGTTGGTTTGGCTGTGAAAACACATCGAAAGTCTCCAGGAAAAGCAGTTTTTCTCTCTTTTCTGCAATATTCCGCGGACACTACTGGATTCCGCGGAATTCACAGGGGACAGTAAAAGGTGGCATTCTTCCAAATGTGGAATGAAGACTGCAGGGTTTACAGACCTCTCGCCATGTAGCCAGTGTAGGCAGCGCAGAGGGATGACAGGAGTACACTGTATACTAGTTTTTAGTATTCCCTGGATGACACTTCTCAAGTCCTGATGAGGCCGCCAACATAGGCTATGGCCAAGGCCACCCACCACCGCAGAAGCCTAGGCATGACAGGAGGCACTGACATTATCTTGACAGATGTTTATCATAACAACCGTCAACAACCACAGGACTTGGGAGCTAAGTTCATTGAAACGTTTTAGACAGAAAAAGGTGAACCACATGGCTGTGCCATAACTGAGCATTGCCAACAAACCAGCATTCCATTCATCAGGAGACAGGGCGGGGGAAGACACACACAAACCAGCATCCGGCTACCTTTCCGAGCATAGCAAAGGGAAGACAAAGCCAACTAGTATACTGTGGTACCATCCAGAGCATGCCACAGCAAACCTAAATCGCACACACACACAGCATTCTCTTGGCGTGCACCAGAATTACAACAAATTTCCACACTGTACTACTATTACTTTATCTACTTTCATTTCAATTCCACCGACGCCAACACAGCATCTACGTACGCATACATCGGCAAAACGAGTAAAATCAAGTTTTAGCTTTTCAGCAAAAAGGTTGGAGAATCGGCTCAACCACACCCACCAAAATATAAGCAAGCTTACACGTACAGCAGTAGAGTAAAACACACATGGGGAAGTCAACAAAGCAATATAGGCCTTCATTATTACATTTTGTGACATTGGCTGAGTATTAGCGGTGTAGAGCTGGCAATATATGACTTGCGTCATAACGGGCATGGGGTGGGAGGTGGTAAGAAAAAGCAGTTGCAAGAAACAAATCTGGATGTTCATTGTTGAAATAGCATATTACTGTTGATAAATAATTGATTACGAACTCTTCGCCTTGGGTTGGGAGAAACTCTGGAATGCTGCACGAGTGCAAGGTTCAATGGCAAGCTTTTCAAAAAGCAGTGAACCGAAGAACCAAAGCGGTGCGTACTCCAAAGCGATACATCCAAACAAATGGTACGTGAACTGCTGACTGTAATCCCAGGAGTTGGCGTCGAACTGCATCAGCACCAAGCCGAAGGCTAATTCCACAGCGAAACACAGAAGCATGTAGAGGAATCCTCTCGCCAACATCGTGATTTTGTGATCCAGAAAGAAGAAATACAGTCTCTCGATGACCAAGAACGAAAGACCGTAGATTATCAAGCTCCACACAGACGAATAACCGACGAGCTTGAGATCTCCATCTTCCAGGAAGTAGGACCACATAGCCGTCCAAAATACTTCAATGTAGAAGGCATTGATAGAATAGAATGCCAGGCGATAGGGCCAGGACACTCGAGAATATCCGATTGTCGGCTTGTTGTCGCTGGAGTCCAGTGCCACTCCACCACATTCGCACAACGGGACGGAGCCCTTGAGCTCGTAGTTGTAGATTCCGGACATCTTTGGAAACCAAACAGACCTGGGTGTGCAAAAGACAACCAAGCAAAAATAATAATGAACACAATGAAAACTTTCTGCAAAATATATCACCAAGAACAAGATCCTTATAAACGTGGCGAAGTCGCGCGCGCGCGCGCGCCCCAACGCTTTCAGGTTCAACAGAGCTAGCTATTATAGTACTAGTACAACACACTAACACAACCACTGCTAGTATTGAATAGTAGGGAGCATCTTCTTGACCTTCAAGAAGCGTACTGCCAAACCAAACCCAACAGTCTTCAGAAAACACAATGACTTTCGCGCGCGTCCGAGCCAACACATGTCACAAAAGCTCAATCAATGATCAACTAAAACAAACTACGGTGTGAACCAGACTCCATCAGGTAGGTACTAGGTGTGCAACGATGTAGAGAATAGACGAGTTGCAGCGCGGGATGTTTCAATCCCCGCATTTGAAGCACGATAAAACTACGCCTTTTTTCATTTTCGAACCGCGCATTCGCATGAAGACGGTGCACCGGGCCACTGATATCAAGCAAGGCAAAAGGAGTTAACTCACCTGGAGTCTAGCTTCGCGTTCTGGAGAGCAGACTGCAAACAATTCCACGGATCAAGACTCGATGAGGACGGCGCACAGCACTGAAATGCACCTGTTACAGCCACACTACGTCTGTCTAACCTTATGAAAGACAAAGAAACAACTCTTGTAGTCTCACTTGCCAGGTGAAAGAGATGCAAAGACCGCACTCAAAATGACTTCGACTCGAGCCACACCAGGGAGTAGTACAATACCACGGTATTGTACTACTCCCTGAGCCACACACAAAAATGGCTCGGCCTGGCTTTGGCTTCAGAGTTGTACAGTGCTGGCAACTGAAATCCGACCCCCTGAGCGGTGCGCTCACATCGCAAAGAATGTGAACCCACCGCTCGGGGGATCGGATTTCAGTTGCCAGCACTGTACAACTGAACTCGTACAGTCATGTACTCCCGATATATCCACTCATGCACCCAGCTACGTAGGCCAGGCCCCCGGCCGGGTACCAGTACCCGTACCCGGTACCCGTGCCGCGCTTGCATGCACTGCACTGGTACAATGAATGGTGCTGGACCTGCTGGTACAGTGGTGCATGGTAGGACCTGCTGGTAGGGAAGTCGTTCACGATTCCCCTGGCTAACCAGTTCGAATCCAGCGTATGCAATTGCGCAAGTCGGATCGTTTCGGTTTTTCCCCGCGTCATTATGACTCATACGGTACAGTGTGATATCATGTACATGCATGGTGATGTAACGACTAACGTCGAAGTAACGAGTACTAACAGCTAACGACAGTACGAGCTTGTCCTTGACTCCTTACTTGCCAGTCGAGTCCTTGGCTTGTACCGACTGTACCATGTGTACTGCTGACTGCTGTTGTTGTAAATCTACGTGCGGACTGCGGAGTGCGCGTGTAATTCATACTAATAAAATATTAATTGTGTCCCGACCCGAGCAGGTACTAGGTGCATGTGGTTCGACGTGTAGTGCATGCAGCCACGACTCGTACAGCTACAGACTCACTCAGTACTGACATAAACACTACAAAAATGTACTAGTGACAGTAGTCTACATCACGGTGTATGTGCACCGCGCAGGACTGATCACACGCCGACGCCGCAGGCCGTACAAACATTGTAATACTTGGCACGGGTTTCTCACAATGGCATGCACACCCACGACACACCTCCATGTATGATAGTACATGACTGTAGTGTAGTCATAGAGTTTGCTCTTCCACTTTCGATCCACTGGCACTCGTACTCGTGCTTGAACGTCGAACAGAGGCCGCGCCAAGCACGAAAATAGAGTCACGAGTGGCTCCTAGCGATCCTTGCGCCGTAGATAAACCATGATCGCTATCGAGAATACTGTTTGCTTTATAGTTATACTGAGCACTTTACCACGCTAGAATCTACAGTACTACAAAGTCATGTACCTTAGGCTGTACTAACCCCCCCACACCCCCCCCCCCCCCCTCTCAGCACTCACCCTGTACCATCCTGTACCGTAGTAGTCTCATGGAGATCATAGACATAAAAACTCCCAGCTAGCTGGCTGTTGGTGCGAGGGATCCCCAATAGCAAGAGTACTATATCACACGCACATGCACACACACACACACACACACACACACACACACACACACACACACACACACACACACACACACACACACACACACACACACACACACACATACCGTGCACATACATGTACGTGCACACACGTGCACTCGTACTTGCAAACTTCACAACACTGACCCAAAGGATACAGTCAACACTCTCATTTTCTAGTTTCTGCAGACGGAATAACTGCATGTGTTGCAAAGTCACATCAGAATTTTTCAGAATAAGTTATAGTTGGTTGATAGAGTGGCATTATCGTGCGTGCCACGCCAAACGGTCCATTGTGGCCAATGCCGGAGACTTAGCTGATGACCGTGATCCGTTCTACCCGCTACATGTATAAGGGTATGTTTGAAGCAATGAAATCACACAAGACTGACTGACTGACGACCGTCGCTTACATGTATAGCAGCAGCAACAGTAGACAGATAGATAGATATATTATATATAGGGCAGGGTAAGAGCGACAGCAAATACACGCCTCCAAGAGTACATAAACACCGTGCGCAGCTGCGCCGCTGGTCTGGTCCAGGGTGGGAGGTTTGTTGACGTCACCCGGCATGGGTTTTTCGTTCTTGCCGCTTTCAAAACAATTTTTTTTAAATGATTTCTCCAGCCACTGTACCTTTCCGATCATACATGAACTCATATTGCAAGCTAGTTAGTGAAACCCTGCAGAGTTCACGTGGCCAAAGACTCACAGTAAATACATTTTACTCCCAGAAAAGTTGGTGTCAACATAAAATCCCACCATGGGCATAACCAAGCAAAGTTGGACACTCCGCTTGCTTATGTTGTCTTGACGACGCCAACGATACGCACACTTATTCTACCAGAATTCTAAAACAGTTCAGGCATGTGCACATGCCAACGGAGCGGGATTGGGAGCGTTCAGAGCTCAGTGCAGTCAAGCCAGACGATGGTGTGTGTGTGTACGCGCGCTCGTGCGTGTGGGTACATACTGGTGACAGTTCCAGTGCGTGTCGGCGATACTCAGGATATTGACATGAATCTTAATGTCGGGGATGGGAATCATCACCAGAGGCCATGTTACTGCAGCTGCACCTCCAGAAGTTCTGGGCACTTCTCAATAACAATCGACAAGAGCGAGCCAACATAGTGATTGAGACGTCGCGAGTGAAGCTGCTCATCGCGAAGTGCCGACAATAGCTGCAGGGAGAAGCACACCAACATGGAATACATTCAGGACTCTCTTCAGAGTTAGTCACGGACTGACAGTTCCGCATCTTTAAATATGCCCCCCCCTACCACATACATGTACACACACCTTCTCATAGATCAAGCTACATATCCGATGTGGGTCCTGAAGTGCTGCAGTGACTCTGAGAGGAGTGGATCAACTCGCCATCAAGTGCCGGGTCGAAGATCAAAAATTCCGCCGATACCCTCTGTGTCCCGGCCATTGCCTTTGACCACCCCACCAGTGTGTATGCCTGCTCACAAGCATACATGCAGGAAATCACCAAAGTGCAGTGCAGAATACGCTGCAAATGCTGATAACGTGTGTACGGGTATCGCTTCATTGCATGCCATCTTGCTAATCACTTTGTGCGGATACTACATAGGATTCTTACCTCATCCTTGGACTGTGCCTCCAATTCAGCAGCTAGAGATTCAGTCTGCCATGATGAAGAACAAAAGAAGACAACAGGTTTAGCAAAGAACTAAGCCACTTGAATAGCTCAAATCCATAGGCACTACACTGTGCCCGTTTCGACTGGGAGATACCTCTGTCTGTGATTCTCTGGCAGTGTACAGTAGCCTCACGGGTCATCCAGTTCTGAGCAAAGCATCATCCCACATGTACACATGTAGCAGCACACTTTGCCACACACTGCAGGGTACTGAGCTCATGCATGTTAATGCACATGTACCACTGGCGCAGGCAGTTCTTCTTCAGTCTTCTATGCACGTCCATGATTGCACTGCAAGCCGTGTGATGCTTGCATGCGACTTTTCTACCATTACTTGTTAAGTTGTTACTAAAGTACTTGTCAGCATGCAGAAAAGCCAAAGAAGCCATACTTGACCCCGTAACTCCACACAGCACTAAGCCGCTCAATCTTGAAGATTTCGGTGAATTAGGAAGACGGGAACGGTGAATATTATATCGGCATCATTTCACATACCTCCTCCATAACCAGTGCCTTGCCTTGGAGGACCAGCACAGAGTAGAGCTCATCATTCTTGCACTTTTCATCAGCTAGCTCCTGTGGGTCATGATGGTAAACACAGCAATACCGGTATTAGAGCGGCACATGCGCAATAGGCCTTATGCACGTTGAACAGATGCACGGAATCCCGTCACAGAATCTCGTAGAATCTTGTAGAATCCCGTAGACCCGGTTGAATGTGCAGGACCCTATTGTGTTTACTGCTTTTTTCACTATGAAATGGGCCCTGCAGGCATTTCATACGAACACCTTTTTCTGGCAGAGATCTAGCTAGTCGTTAGTTCAATCCCAAAGTGAAGAAGCTGGAAAAGCGATTGTTTGCCATGAATTATGAGGCTAAATGGGTCAAACGTGCATGTATAGCACACAATGAACACCCAACCGGGTATGTACACACCTACGGCCCTAGTACAGAACTTCATACATCTGTACAACGTGCATAAGGACTATGGAAGTCGTGAAAACAAACTGATTAAAAATCGGTGACAGCAGCCTTACAATTTGCAACAATATCGCGAGTTTTTCATCAGGTTTATTGGCAACACCTTGCTAAGCAGGCCCTGGGAAGACTGAATTTTCTAGTAAAGAGACTACCAGTATATGATAGCCATGCAAGAAGATGCAGAGAGATGAGAGGCATCGTGATCTTATTGGCTTCGACGCCGAGGTGCATCACAAACTCACAGGCATTGCATTGAACACACTGCATTACCTTCTCAAGACTTTGCATCCGGGCATAGAGCTCATCCGAAGAGGACACGCTCATGCGCATCGTACTGGACTTCTCCAGTCTGTTGTAGCGTTTCTCCCAAGCTTCATTTTGCTGCGTCGAATTTGAAATTTGCTGTGAGGAAGGAAAGGCCAAATTGCCAGCAGAATGTGCAATGCAAAAGTGAGCCAAATGTACTGCAGAGGATAAACACTTGAAATACTATGAGTGCACAAAGTCATTTACAGCGCATGTCTATAATTCCCAGCAGCCGCTTACTGTACAGTCGCCGCGGGTATTCTATTGGTTTGAGCGGGTGCATGCCACTAGGAGAGGCTAAGAAATTGTCTCCCAGCCGCCCGTGACTGACAATAGGTAGCCATTCAACCCGTTGGAAGCCTACGGGACGTTGCTGCATCTAGGCTGGCCATGTCGGTTTGATCTTACCTCCTTCAAGTCAGCTATTGTTCGTTTACACCGATCTGCTTCTTTGCGGTGCTGCTCCTGTTGGCTGCATAGCTCCTGGCCGAGCAAGTCCAGTTTACGTTTCATCTGGATGTTGGTGTCTTCCAGACATTCATGTTCCTGGATATGATTCCAGGAGAAAGAACCCAGTGTTCATTATAAAGCCAATGAAATGATCAAGTTCCAATAGAACGTTTAGAAAAGGCACCGGCATTGAACAGGAATTCGCCGAAAGAACCAAAGTTATTATCAACTGACTTCAACGCTCGGACACAACTATCACTGCATACTACTCCCCCCCCCCCCCCCCGCGTTATATTTGGCAGCATCTTTGAGGGGTTCACAATAAAATCAGAGCATGGCAGCAGATTGGCATCACACTTAATTTGCTGTTCGCTGGACTTGCTTTCCGCCATACGTGTGGCACATTGGGTCTCCGACGGGAAACACTCACATCACATGTTCACAGCACGTTCCATAATATGTGCATGTATGATGTAACGTTACAATGAAGGCGAGCGTGCAACCAGTCTGAATATCTGCCATGATTATGTTGATGACTTCCATAAGCTGAGTGCCCGGGGTTTCTTTCAGAGAGTCACGGCTGTATTTACTACTCCAGTGCTCGCTAAAAGCAGGCTGGAAACGTACGACTGGAAAACTACACCACGTGACATGAAGTGTCGCGGTCCGTGGACCCATAGCAAACCCATGCAGAGTTGCATGTTCCTGGAGAGTAAATTACTAATAAATACTGGTAATATACTTTTGCTTCTACCTATTGCTGCACGTGTTGTTCAAAGATTCCACTGACGTCTTCATTACCTCTTTGGCTGCCTTTATCTGATCTCGCAGTGCTGTTTCAGATGCACGAAGTTCTGTTTGAGCTTCGTCGGACTGAGCTAGTAACTGCCGCACCATGTCAAGTTGCTGTGCAGCCTTCCTCTCTGTCTGGGCCTGGAATTGAATTTAAGCAAAAACACCAGCAACGCACGCACAGAGAATGGTCGCGATTAGCTCTAGTCCAACAATCTAAAGTCAAGAGAACACAATACTGACTGGCTACGCTGTGACTGTATATCTAACGAGAAGATTGCCGCACGGTCCAATTTGTCGTTTCAAATGACCTCTAAAAATCCCCGCGTAACCCGGTACACAAAAAAGCTCTGATTATGTGCGCCCGTACACGGATGCTGGCCACTATCAACGTCAATACACGCCATATTATCAGTCACGTGGAACTGTGGGTGCACACACTTTGGTGTGAAAATGAATTCCCTTGGATAGCATGCAGAGCGGCAGCTTGGCGTTTTCTGCTCATTGCTGGTTGCAAAAGCAGGTATGCACTGCATCTTCAAAGGGAAATCTGTGTACCAGCCAAATATGCCTTCACTAACCGGAGACCATTATGGGTTCGTCATTCTGGTACTGTAGTGGATATTCTTACCATTTTCACCCGGGCCTTCAGCTCTTCCGCTCGCTTCTCATCTTGATACTTTCCCTCGTTCTCCCGCAGCTTATCCTCCAAGGCATGTATCCTGAAATCACACACAAGTATAATTATTAGCAGGGATTGTCAGATCGGAGGTGCCCAATAGCAGGTGCGCACACGCGCGCGCGCACACACACATACACACACACATACACACATGCACACACACACACACGCGCGCGCGCGCGCGCGTCTGCTCAACTAACTTGATGTGAGAGTCAAAGAGTTGCTAAGCAGGTCTGCATAAGACAATCATAACAAGCTGTGATGTAATGATAGGTGGGTGTGCGTAGAAGCCATAGAACATAAAAATACCATTATATCTGATCAAAATCCTGTGATAACGCAAGCACAGCTACTTCGAAGGATATATGTGGACTTACTCTCGAACTTTCTCTGCTAGGTCATGTTTAAACCTAGACGATCTGTCCAGTGTCAGACTTCGATCTCTTTCCAACGAATCAATTTTTGCCTTCAGGCTGACCTCCTGGGAGACAGAGATAAGGCAAAGCATGGTATCACAGGGAATGATTCAGCACAGATGGAAACTGAAAGTCTGAGGGAAGCTGCTACAGAATTGCACTGGAAGAGTGACCTAGATCCGGCAAAACCAATGGGCCCGGGTTGGTCGCGTCATGACCAGACCAACATGCCAGCTACAGTAATACCTAGACTAGCCTTGGCACAGTCATTGTTGAGCCAGGCCACAATCAATTCGTTCTGATGATGGCATACCTGACGGTGCAGATACTCAATGGCATCATCTTCCCGCTGAAGTTCATCTTCACTCTCGCAAAAGGGTAGTGCGCATCCCGGAAAGCTCTGCCTGCAGAACGCAACACACAGAGAATGGACCCGTCAGTTGCTTGTGGCAGCGCTGCTCAGTGAACTGCCACCATGTGCGTCAAGTTTGCGCCCTCAGCGGCGCCAGTTCACATGCCAGTGTTGCGCACAGGTCTGGGGTCTGGGGTCTGGGCCGGGTGCACAGCACTCAGCGGGGCATTGACTCGCTTGGTCGGACTTTAAGTTTATTGCCCAGCATCGGACATGTGTGGTTGCCAGGGGAAATGAGCGTTACCATGACCTGCTAGATACGGCAGCACTCTTTCCATTGTACATTAAATCACCCAACACACGTCAATACCCAAATGATGGCCATCAAAAAAAATCATGCGGGTGCTACGCTGTCAGCAATGGTTACTGATCCGACCATATCGAGCAGATCAAAGCAACATGATGTAATCACGGCATAGAAATCCAGTAAAATGGTTTGTGACAACAACGAGGGCATTGCGTTTACCTCCGCGGGCTGCGCAGGCCGATAACTGGAAGGCTGCGCTGCGACGTGACTGGACGATGGTGGCGTATCCTGTGATCAACAGCAATGGCAGTGGCAATGTTAATTAACAGTAGTGCCGGTCAGACGTAAAATAATTTAAGAGTAGAGCAACACTGCCACCTAAAGTAGTACTAGTACTGCTAGTGCTACTAGTGCCTGGAAGAAGACAAGAGCTTGCAATTTAGATCACTTCGTTCAGGAAATCCGACAACCAAGTGCATGTGTCTGTACAGATGAAGTGACCTAAGGAGAGCAGGCACTGAGTCGCATTAGCAACCTGAAATAATCCACGGTAGATACACACGTTTACCCTGCGTTGTATCCTGAAAAGCAGTGGGTCAAGTCTTGAAAACTCAAATTTCTCACACGCCCTTGGATCATTAGCGGGCCTAAGTGGTACAGACAGACGGACGGACGGACAGAGAGACAGACACTATGCCAGAAACCCAGACACACAAACACCAGATTGATACAGCCTTCGCCAATCAGAGCCCAGGCAACGTACCTCAAATAGGCAGGTGTTATCTCGCCAGATCCCTCAAACAGCTCAGTCGCACCGGGGGTCTTCTTGCTACCATTCTCCGACTGGCAGGTTGGCGTAGAGACGGCGGTCATCGGAAATGAACGCGGAGGGAATGACCGCGGCGAACAGTTATTACTGGATGAGCTGCTGTTTGGCTGCAGGGAACTTGACGGGCTTTGCGGGTCATCATCTCCCGTAAGGGGATTGCTGGTAACCAGGTGACGTGGAAAATCATGTGACAGGGACAGTCCATTTTGCTGGCATGCCAGTGTTTGACTGGTATTCCGTTTAAATGGCTGCGGCAGGGAGATAATGTTGATAGAGGACAGGACATCATTAGGAACCCAACATCACTCAAATTACCTATTCTTCTTTGAAGGTAGTACTAGGAGAATTGCATGGTAACCATCCTTGCAACCTGAAGAATTTCTACCATAGTATGGTCCTGCCAAAGAAATCTGTTCATGATGGACTATGTTGTCAACACATACATTAAATTTTACAATTGTACCGTGACAGTAATTGACTCCCCAAAACGTTTGATGCCCCACATCAATGCCATCATAAAACAATTATATTGATGAGTGGAGAAAGGCCATGGTATTCTGGCAGCACCGCTAGGTCAATTTTTTCCCAATCGCATTTACACATGTTGAGCGTCAGTGTCACTCACCTCACACAGACATGGCCTCTGGCAAGAACATGACTTCTGCAAGTGGTCCACGTCTTGGTCTGGCATGTTGTTACTGGCTATATTGCATACAACAAGACAGACAGACACGGCAGAGTGTTGCAAACAAGGGATTTCAGTTCATCTAGGTACAGATATCTGAGCTATCTCACGCCAAAGAACACGGCCTCGCCGTTGAATCTAACCGGAACTAGCATGCCATGTGCTTTACCATTCGACTGCATACTGCAATGTTGTTCATCGGAAGAACTTCCGCCATGAGCTGCAAGCCGGATAGGACATGGCAGACAGAGAAAGTCTTCACTGTAGGAGCGAAAGAAGAACGGGAAACCTCCACAGTATTACCAAGTGCCATCTACCCCATGCGTACTACCCAGTGCCATTTTGCAAAAAATTCAGAGTTTTGCGTACTCGTTTTTTTCAGGTCAACATTCTGGCTGATTATTAGTGTAATTTGGGGAAGAAGAAAAAACGATACTGTACAACTTTTCCAGCCACAGAGTTCACTTGTGAAGCTGTAGTACATGCACATGTGCAGTGCACTGCAGGCTGCATGCACTCTGCGATCCGATTTTGGATTGATTGATCGTGGACACGTGGATGGGTGTCTTCTGCACCATTTTCACTGCTTTCGAAGACACCTTATTTTTTCACTTTTGCGGGATACTTAGATTGAAATCCGTACTGCGGACAAAACCTCGTTTTCCGTAAAAAAACATACGGCCAAATACGGGCGGTTGGCAACACTGCCTCCGAGGCGCCTAGGATTTGAAGGCAAAGAGTCATCGCAGTCGCTTGACTCGACGAGAACTCGTAGTAGTGCGAGATCCGCACCAACTCGGCAGAGCATGATGTGCTAGAGCTGATAGCCAGATAGTTGTAGAACGTCAGTACCGTCGGTCAGTGTCGTGCAATGTTATCGCATGAGCTGATTGTTTAGTAGCTGGTGGTGTTAGTGGACAGTATAGCGTAACTTGTAGTTCCTCGGTCCTTTTTCTTTTCTATAAATTTATCCTTGCCTCTCCATCCGAGTCTAATAAATTAAGGCTTGGAATTTAAAAACATGATTATCGACGACACACTTGCCTCTTCTGTTCATGTCTTGCCCCGCTCTAGTAATACTAATAGTTCATGAATCCGCCCAGTCCATATTCCCTCTCTGTTTCTCTTTCCTTCCAGTTGCGTCTTCCTTTCTGCTCTGTTTTACCTTTCTCCTTTCGTTCGACCCCCTTGACATTTGTACTTTGTGCTATTGAGGCAACGAAGTGAAATAATAAAAACCAAACCAATGTTGGTGTGTTGTCCAATATTCAGCAAACCAATGTTGGTGTGTTGTCCAATATTCAGTGTCCGCTGGTGCTCTACCACCACAAGTTGGATGGAGAAACTGTTTTTGACACGATTTGTCAGATGCCAAGAATTCCTCCAGCACAACATGACAACAGGCCACTAATCCCGCCAGTCCTTCCTGTTGCAAACCACAAAACTCGCCTTAGCCATGATTTGCAACATTACTATGATCTTTCTAAACTAACTGTTACTTGCTACTTGCTGCATGCAGGGCGTCTTCGCATTGTTGGGTCGGCAAAGCAATCGCTGCTGCGCAACGTAATCGTTCCTGGTTGCGAATGATCCGTATGTACACTCATCCCAGCATTCCACTGCAATATCTAGGGCGGCAGGCATGACGACGAGCCGCCACCGCACCATACTGTTCATAGCCTCCATCATGCATCGCTCTTCAAACAGTCCAGCGACTGGCAGCGTTACTTCAAGCCCTTCGCCATGAACTCAATGACTAGCTTAGCAGCTAGCTGTCATTCGACTTGGCATTTGTGAATAATGTAATAGTCCTACGAGGGGAAATCGAAACCGGCCGCGAGAGACGATTGTCGGCGGCCAGCATTGCGTTTGCAACATTGTAAATCACAGTACTTGCCGATTCGCCTTGCCGTGGGTGCGAAGCCTTGTCGCGCGGGGCGATCGCAAGTTAGTTCACTTCAATGACAGCACTTACCGCTGCAGTTGGCGATGCTGACGTCCTCTGAACTGCCTCGCGTGCGCTCCTGTTGCTCAGTGCTGGATTTAGAAGCCAAAGATTCACGATCCGACGAGCTCCTGCTACTGCCTATCGAACTGGAAGGCGACATACCAGCTTCGCCCTGGAAGCATTCCACCAGCCGAAGAAACAAACACCATGTCCATGGTGCTTGATAAACAAACTAGCAATAGAAAACCTTCCAACAATAATAATATTATGCGTCTCCCCAGCAGCACAAACACAGTTTTTTTTCAAAGATATAAAACCGAAGACGGTACAGAGCTAGAGGGCCTAGGCTAGGCCAAGGGTAGACCTCCTGAGTGAAAATGGCACTCCTGTGACAGGTTAACTCACCTACTGACCCCTGGGCCCTGTCTCTACTGAAACTCCAGGAGACGGCACATAAGTAGATGTACATGAAGACATAGGTACGACGGGGGAGGGAAGACACGAAGTGCTCCAGAAGAAGGGAGTCGTCACGAATTACTTACATTTCTGCTCTCGGCCTCTCCTGGTTCAGGACTGGATGTGCAAACGCTGCAGCCACTGTCGTCGGCTTCGTCTGCTGCCACTGCACGGCGAACGACGGTGCTGCGATGGCTTGCCACAGCCGGGTCGACACGAAACTCGCCACTACTGGCCGCTTTCCGCGCCAGCTTCTGGTGACGATTGCCCTCCATGATCTTGATAACCTATCAGGCAAGGTGTGTGCCGTTCAGCGGTACGCAACACACTGTTCAACGGTGATGTGAAAGCTCAAACAAAGAAAGCTCACTTTTTCGCACCTACAAAGCAACTCCGATCCTGTTTCTGCCGGTATCCCAGCTGACGCACAGACCAGTGTTGCCCAGTGTCGGTTATTTTCTTGATCGTCGGTCTTCGCCCACGTCAACCTCTCGCGAGTGCACACGAGTTGCACAACAGACATCGACAGCGACCAGACAAGGACTTTAGTTTAGGTGTAGTAGATCTACGAGCGCAGCAGGTAAACTGGTTGATGAGTGAGGCTGGGTTGCACAAGGCACACAGAACTTGTGTCAGCACAGTAAAGCCAACAGCTGCTTCAGCGCACCCCCGGTGTGAAGTTCCTTTCTCAGTTTCTGTACTCGTCACAACTAATACTTCGACAAACACACAAGAAAGTCAATATTATTATTATGACAGGATCTATCCAGTATAAGAATAGATCTGCTGCAGCGTTAGCCGAAAAAAGTACGGTAAGTGAGGCGTAGCATTTAGCCTCGTGTCATGATAATTCTGTCTCCATTATGATGAGGCACACTGCTGATGAACACGCGTGGCAAGGCAAGCCACAAGCACCTACATAAAGCCAAGAGGCAAGAAGTCACAGTTTGCAGCGACCTGTCCTTGTCCCCTTGCACCTTTGTGGCTTCAGCGCTGAGTGCTCGACTCTACTCTACCATACTCTGTTGTAGTCTGAATGCACTGACTTCGTCTTTGTATCAGCTCCACAGCCTCCACTCCAGATCCACTGTCTTGTTACTTGTACTAAGTTGTAGGCTCCAGAACATGACATGATTGTAATGACAATCATGTACCATGACTGTGTACCGCGCGCGAGTCCTCTTCGTGTTCACACGCTCCTCTTTCATGCCTCATCTGGCGAGCGACGTATTGTCGTGCGCGAATTGATGTGCGCATGCGTAATGGTATACCTGTACAGTCGTCATGGTCGTGTGCCAGGAAGCTGAGGAGCGCGGAGTGGAGTGGTGGGAGTTTCAGTTTCACGATCACAACTCCCTTGTAAAAACTCATACCTACATAATTATAAGTCGCAAGTACCTCAGGAGTCAGTACACCAACACTGGCAACAGACACGGTTACTGACAAGACTTGAACATGAACTGATTTGTAACCCAAATCACAATCCCCTGCTGTTGGTTACACTATGCCACTCTGTTCACGCCCGCCCGTCACCCAAAAGACCTCCTAATAAGTCTGCTAAGGCCTAACGCTCCCACCCGCCTGTTGCCTGCCAATCTCCCAACGCATCCACACATCTACTGTCCCCTGCCTCCCGGGATCCCCAGTGCCAGTGTCAGAGCTTTTTCTCAACGCTCACACCCGCATGTTGCCCGCCATCCTCCTAATTACCTAAATACGTCCACCCGCCTGTTGGCCGGGCTGGTGCCCACTAGTGCACTGCCTCTCATGACCTAGCACCGCAGACTAGACCGCGCTACCTAAGTCCTTATCTGACGCTACCACTACCAGACACTACTGGGGGACTGCGCCCACCTGTAGGCTGTAGACTCATTTGTCTACCTACCGCTAGATGTGTTTATGCATGTGGCCGGGGCCGGGGGCCGCCCTATGTCACAAGTATGTGTTTATATAAAACCGTTATTAGTGCTGGCCAGGTAGAACCCCAGGCAGTACACTATCAGTTGTCTGATTACCATGATTACTGCCTCGCGGCATGAAACTCGGGGTCACAACCAACGACAACTAACTAATTACTAACTTGAATGTCCTCCGCTGAGTCTGCTAACCATTGCCTACATGTAGTATGGCTATGAATATGTTACTGTGTAGAAACACACGATGGTAAATCGCAAGAGGCACACAAAGGAAAGTACCCGGGCTTATTGTTGTAACTCAGAGTTTCATGGTACTACAACAACCAATCATCAGACAAAAGAAGGAGAGAAGCAGCAGAAATGTCAATGGTAAATTGCTATCTCTTTGGACAGCTAGCCAGTGTTTGCCAACGGTACATGATGTCGATGTTGATGTACTTCAAAGTATACATAGGCTATGTACAAAGAAAGGCTGGGGTAGCTTTAGTTAGAACGAATGCCTGTTTTATCAATCCTGCAGATCATGAGATAGGATCGTGAAGGGCTGGACTACTCATTAACCTTGGTTAGGGGTGCCACGGATTCACATTCTCTGTTGTAGTGAGTAGACGGCTACCAGCTGTACTGACCGCACACTGTGCAGTGATGCCTGTGTTGGCCAAGCCCACCTATAAGTATGATAATAGTGTTGTAGCAGCTGTCTCTCTACAGTAGTAGTAATTCCAAGCTGAGTACGCACATGATAATTATAGCCATGATGACTGATTGATATGGCGATTGTTGTTCCTCTTGGGACTGTGTTAGTACTGTCACATGATGACTGTACACTCAGTGTACATTTCACCAAGAGCATAATCATTTGTAACGGTTAACCGTGACCTCACTGGCCTCCGAGTGGCGTTACAGTCACAAACCTTTCAAGGACAACAACTCTGATAAGTAGTTGATAAGGCGACCACCTGCCTCAGAGGAACACTATACAAAGTACAATATGATCAAGTTATGTCCAGCTCTGGATAAGGAGACTATCTGTACACATGGCCACGTTTCTTATCTAAGGTGCCTTGAGCGGTCGCCGTTGGACAGGTTTCACTGTATACACTATACAGTAATGTACACTATTGGTAGTACGCGCAGACACCCGTACCCTGTCAATGTACTGGTCATTGCAGTCTACAGGCCGCTCAGCACTCAGCAGTATGAGTCTTATGACTTGACTGATGACATCATAATGGGAACTTAGTTTACTTCTGAAACACTGTGACTTTGATGCAGTACAACAACAGAAACTTCCTAAACTAAAGCTGCTTGTAATTGTGTTTCTCAAAATAATTTTACGGCCAGTTGTAGCAGGAACCTTTTACAGCAACAACAACAACAACAACAACAACAACAACAACAACAACAACAACAACAACAACAACAACAACAACAACAACAACAACAACAACAACCCTCTCCCATACTTGTAAAATTCAAAGTGACGTAAATTACTTTCCAACTCCATCATTGAACCCGCAGCCCCACCCACAGCATCTCACCTTCTCATAAACTTATCTCTTATTGGCGATGGTGCCATCGTGAGAATAAAGAATTCACTTAAAAAACAGCAGCAACAACAACAAAAGCAGCTAGCGACGACAACGACGATGATCAAAGTGATGGCGGCGGCGGTAACGTATGAAAAAAAGGACACGGGTCCCATTTCATTTTTATGTTTCATCATGATCAGATGACGTAGCATTGGTTATTATGAGGCAGCCGGGAGTGGTTTGGGTACGACTCCCTGTGAGCCCGGGCAGTAATTAGTATGTGGCGAGGGTGGTCCTCATGATCATCTCCTCTCCCTCGTCGACTTTGCGGCTCCACAACTGAAGTCAGATACCCAGTCTCAGATGGGTGTCCTGGAATTGTAAAGACTTTCAACTTCAAGGCATACAGATTCGGTAAATTGGACCTGTGGCAAAATGTCTGGAAGGCCAAATCATCCTGCCAACCATGTATCCATGAAATCTAATGCATCCTGACAGCTGAGCTTGTGCATGTACATGATAAGGCGCCTAGCGCGCCTGTTGTAAGTCGATCCCGGTTAAAAGTTGATCCCCTCCTCTTCTCCAGGCCTCGATTTCCCGGTTCAAGGGAGTAAGACCTAGCCCTTGGCAGATTTTGCTCGAAAAGCAGTGAAATTGGCAGAACCATACGAACCATATGGCAGGCACTTCCTTGAATTCTGCTCTATTTCTGTATCCACATACCAAACATGCACGAAACATACCAGAAAAAGTACCAAATTCTGCCAATATTTCTGCCGCCATTATCCGCCAAGGGCTAGTAAGACCCGGGCTGTAAGTCGACCATGTAACCCTTTTAGGTCTGACAATTTCGACTTATAACTGGTAGAGCAGGGTAGGTATCAGGACGCAGCGAGTACATGTATGTCAGTGATACCAAGCATACCGTTGACACAAGTAGGTACCCCCCCCCCCCCCCCCACAGACCAAACGGACCATCGAGATAATGATAGGCTGGCTTTCTCTGGGACTCTGACATACTGTAAAAGCAATTATTCTAACAAGGCGCATATATAACGATTTCCCAAAATTGACTAGTTAGTTTATGTGTACCAAAGGTAACGATTCTCACTCATTCCGGCTCAACGCTCAATATGACAGTATATGTATCGATTTCTGTATAACGATTTCTATTTTAACGACAGATTTCTCCTCGTTAACTCGTTAGAGTTAGCACTTCGTTATATTATGGCTTTTACAGTACACACACTAGCAGGGATTACCTAATACAATACAATGGCATGTACATGTACCAGCCATTATTCCAAGAGCTGAGAGTACAATTGGTCACTGTACCCATCTGCCAGTACCGGAATACGATCGTACGGTACTGTATCGACCGTGATAGGCGAATGCCGGTATGGCACATGCCTCCACATATGCAGCATGCGTGTCAATTTGTCAAACTAATGGAAGTTCATTGCAGATACATAACCATCACTGAGATTGTATTCAAGTACCGTAAAGTACCGCGAAAGCCGCGCCCCACCATCTCGTCCTTTCGTGGTCGTATTGTGGAGGTGGTCTGCTGTCTGTAGGTCATACGACACGAACCTTCTACACAAATTGCACGTTGCGCAATCAATAGATACCTTCGAGCAGAAATGAGTTCAACATAAAAACCTGCTAAATGTGACCTTATTACACTAAGATTCTCACACCGTACAAACTTTTATTGCACTCTGCCATACGATTTTCCTTTCTCTGGTTGTAGAATCAAGGTGGGGGCGCCCTCGCGAGACGGGGCGCTCTGGCGGTACTTTACGGTACATGTACAAGTATTTGTACTTGACTATGTATCCACCATGTAATTCGGAGTACAGTATACCAACAACATGCGTGTACTTCAGTACATGCACAGCTAGTACTGCCAAATAAGTTTCATCCAAACTCAAACAGCTTCTCCAGCTCCATGGGCAATGGGAGATCTTTTAAAATGTGTGACAAAGTTGTACACCCCCCCCCCCCCCTTCATGATTGCATTCAAACTTACACCAAACAACACTATACCGGTGCGTACATTCACCAAATCCTTGATGTAGTAAAACTCTTGTTCTTTTACCAACATCAGAAAAGGGAAAGGGGCAAAAAAATCGGAGCGTCCAACAAACCGGACGCTTTGGCAGCACTGCGTGCATGTTGTGGCTTGTCATTGTAGACGTGTCCCTAATTCCCTGGAACCACAGAACTACCAAACCATAACGGGGGCAATGCTACAAAAGTGCACTGGAGATTTCACGAAAATCTGGGGTATTTCGCCAGAAGTGTTACAATTGAACCAGAAAACAAGGAGAAAACTAATTGAAACTAGTGTTGATTCTGTGCACTACTAGTATACCATGCCAAATTAAAACCCTCAACACGAGGCTTGGCAGCACTTCTAGGACACAGAGAAAATGTAAGGGGGCCCTTACCAGCAATGGAGAAGCCTTTTGACAAACGCGAACAGTTAGAACGGAAGGAGCGGGAGCATGGAGATGAGAGAAAAGTAAGCATGATGGCAGCTACAGTGTAGATTTCATGGCAGCAGATTTGCAGGTGTGTCAAGACTCTCACAGACCTGCTACTAACTTAGTGCGCATGTTGCTAGTGTTCCTAGGCAGAAAACTGGGTATCACGGCCATGCGGTGCGTTGAAGTCCAGGGGTTGGGGGCCGATCGAAATGATTCCGTGCGGGTTGATCTGCTTGAACACTGACGGATAGTGCGTCTCGATGTGGAATCGATCGACGGTGGCATCAATGCCTGGCAACTGATACAAGTCACGTGTGAATGCCCACAGGTTTGGATAATCCACAAGGCGGCGTTTGTTGCACTTAAACAGACCGTGATAGACCATATCGAATCTCGCCAGGCTTGTAAAGAGACGCACATCCGACTCAGTCATCCGATCGCCTAGAATGTAACGACTCTTGGACAAGACATCCTCCAGCTTATCAAGAGCGGAGAAAAGCTTCTCGGCACTCGCATCATACTTTTCTTGGACCGTGGCCAGGCCACAGCCATACACGCCCGAGTTTATTGCATCGCCAATGAATGTGTTCATCTCGTCCACCGAGTCGCGGAGTCCCTCCGGATACAGGTCAATCTGACGCTGCTCATCGGTCTCGCAGAATGCGTTGAACTCGGTGCTAAGCATGCGCAGGATGTCGCCAGACTCGGTGCTGACAATCCTCTTCATCTTCTTGTCGAAGAACACCGGCACGGTGATGCGCCCGCTGTACTCGGGCGCGCACATCTCGTAGATCTCGCGCATGTACTTCTTGCCATTCACGGTGTCAGCATCGGTGCGATAGTGACCCGGGGTGAACTCCCAGCCCTTCTCCGCGTCTGGTCTCAGGTAGTGCACAATACTTTTGCTGATGACGTTCTCCAGTCCCTTGTGGACCAGCATGAAATAGGCACGTGAAGCGAACGGGCACGCCAGGGAGAGGTACAGATGATAGCGACCGGACTCTGCCGGAAACTCGCTGTCCGGATCAGCCCGAACCCACTCACGAATCGACGTCACTGGAGCGCGCTTGGCTTCGGTTTCACTGGCATCCATGCTTGTCATTTTGGCAAAATACGATCGTAATTCTTCTTTGTGTAGTTTGGACTAGAGCTGACACTGGGAGCAAGGTGGCAAGGGACAGACTAACAGGGATCTATCTGCACCTCGAGTCAAGATGGAATATCTAGGAGTGCAAGTCAATCTCGCTCCTTCACCTGCCGCGATGAGCACTGAGCCAGTGAGTTACAGACCAAGAGATGGAGTAGAACTAGAAGTTACTAGAACATAGAAGCGAAACACCCCCAATATAACGCCTTGTGTCAATGTGTGTGTTTGTCCAAGTCTGCTTGCTGTTCTCTGCTACTACTACTATACAAGCGCTTACTCATTCAAACAGAGCCGTTGTAGATCCACTTGAACTAACTAACTGAAGACAGTGAAGTAGCCCTGGCCTGCAGGACTGATCGACTAAACAGTTACCATGGTTACTCTAAAAGTAAAACTAAAGCCAGTAAAGGCAACAATACTCTGTAATGTAAAACTCATGCATACTCGAGTACTCTCACGAATCACGATCACAGACTCACAAGCTCACACCCATTTTCGAATCTTCCTCTTCTGTTTACGTCATACCAATCGTGCTTTTCGTCGTTTCTACGTACAAAACATGTTTTGCCAACATTGCTGCAGCTGGTTGTTGGACATTTTCTAGTTTGGTATTTTGAACGTGCATCGTCGATAGTCAGAATGGCGAGTCCTTGGGTTGATGAAACGTCTCTGGACAAGAAGTGGGACTACTGTGCAAAAGATGCGTTGCTGAAAACGTCTGCTGGAGCTGGTATTGGTCTCGTCTTCGCGTTTTTACTGCGAAATAGGCGTTGGCCTCTGACCCTGGGTACCGGAATTGGTGTTGGTGAGTGAAATGATTGGCTTTTGAACTGTGTCCAGTTGTGGAAGCCAATAGTTCAACATAAATTCTACATATACGTCTGCTTAGTTGTCAAAGCTCTCTTTCTCTACGCTGTAGGGTGCTTTGATCGAGATAACATGAGTCACTGTTTACGTGGTGATAATATAGACAACAATGCTGGCTAGCATTTTCAGCAGTAGAAATTATTTGTTTACATACATGTATCCGCCCTGCTGAAAAAGCAAAGTACATGTACTGGTAAAAGAATTGTAAGCAGGAAGTTGGAACAGACAAGTATGATGTTCAGAGCGTTAGCGTTGGAGACTTAGAAATACGCACAAGTCCAGTGCGTGGGTTGTATAGTGATCATCTAGCTCGCCGAAGAACGGGATGCCAACAAATAGACCAAGTGGAGTTCTCCTGATTGATTTTCTTGTGCGGCGTTCTGCTCAACAAAATCGTGGAGGTCAATCTACTTTACGATCATTCTGCAAGATACCGGTACACACAGATGGTAGCCTTATACATAGCCAGTCCGTACGTAGGGGAGGTGTTTGATGAGGACGGGTGGAAAATAGAGGCAAAAGAGCATTCAGATCCAATGCCTTGTTTGATGAAGTTGCTGCTTGTGTAAGAGACGAGAGACCAAGAACTGACGAAGGGTTTAATGTTGCATTGATTGTAGATACATGTGTGTAGGAATGATGGAAGGATAGCACTGAGGGAAATGGCTTCAAATATTATAGGTATATGTCTGGATGGACTTGAGACTAGTGTGAATAGCCACTTTCTAACTTAGTGGTAGATGGCCTGTGGCCAGCATGATTTGTCCAGCACTCTCTCTCCTCAGCAGCAGCAGCAGCAACCACAGTAATCTGTGCACAGAAATGAAGTACTGCGACTCTATGACAGAGCAATTCAAGGATGGCATCCTGTGCCGTACGGGCACACCGGCTCTAATCCCCTCCTCATTGAAACCGCCTTTGATGCCACCGGTGTAAATCACTACACTCATACATGTACATAGCTTATCCAGGCAGTCCAGGACCATAATCCCGAATCACATACTTTTCGACGGGGGAAGCGAGTGACACGGTATATGACGTCACCAGTTCATGAGTAAACTAAAGGTTTTACATGTACTTCGAAGTACTGTAAAAGCCATATATATAACGAAGTGCTAACTCTAACGAATTAACGAGGAGAAATCTGTCGTTAAAATAGAAATCGTTATACAGAAATCAATACAATCATATACTGTCCTATTGAGCGTTGAGAATGAGTGAGAATCGTTACCTTTGGTACATGTAAACTAGTCAATTTTGGGAAATCGTTATATATGCGCCTCGTTAGAATAATGGCTTTTACAGTAGTTAAACCACTGAAACTCTCCCTAAACAGTGCCCGGTAGACTGAAGACTGTGAAGTGCCCATAACTTTGGTGTCCGGATAACTGAGTTATATTCGTGCTTCGTTGGTGGGTGTTGCCCCTGTCACGAGACCTTGGTCGGCCCTCTCGGTGTCTTTGTATACCGAGAAGTGACCATACGAGTATAGTGCAAGGCTCCGAAGCTCTTTTCTTTGGCTCCAGAATTTCCATTTTCGTAGGTAATTTTGTGCCATCTCGTCTTGTCGCGTGGAGACAAACACTGTGGCTGTGGCTGTAGTGGATTCAGATGAGCTACTGTAGTAAGCGTAAGCTCCAGCAAACCTTTTGAATTGTGTGGGTTTACAAGACTACAGCTAATTAGCTGGCCAGTGCTCAGAAAGTGCAACTATAGCTGGGCCGTGGAGTACAAAAGCCTCCCTCCTTTTTTTTGTTTTTTTGTTTGTTGCTGTGATAGCTGCTTTCGCTCATGTTGGGGGATGGATCATTTTTTTTAATGGCAGCATGACTTGTGTTTGTGCTCTTTTCAGGAATGGCAATCTCCAACTGCCAGCACGAATTTGCTGCACCCGCCCCACACCGGCAAAGCCTGTCAGCACCGGCAGCTGCTGCTCCACAAGCCACATCTCCAACGACGGAAGTATGATCAGTGTGACTGCGATGTGGCTCAGCCCACTGCCTAGAACACTTCTACATACTGGCTTTGCGTTTGCCGTCATGATTGATCATCGTCTTCCGGATGCCGCCAGACTGCCTGGACTGGCTTGTAGGTGCACTTCTACTTGATTTAAGATGCCTTGGTGCATGCACCTGCTGCTCTTGCCTCTGTACATACACCCTTGTTACTTTCAGATGCCGGTTTGCTCGTGTGTTTTCAATTGAAAGCCAGAGAATTGTTAGTCCGGTGAATGGCATCTTTGTTTTTGCATTGCATAGACAGTTGCTGCTCCGTCCGCCGCAATATATTTCTATCTTTTTTTAAACATGCTGGCATGTCCTGTGCAGACTCTTCACACTGCTAGTAGGTCCTAGCCGTTCTTTTCTAGGCCTGGGTCTGGCGTCACAGGCCAGCTCCGATGTTGCTTGGAACTTGGAATATGCACAGCACGGGCCGCGGTAGGCCCCTAACCATGGCATGTCTGCGTAGCTTTAGACCCTACTCAATTAATTGCTTGGTTCATTAACTTCATTTGCTCTTGAGTGCCTGTATACGCTGCTACTATTTTTACAGAAGTTTCATAGTACCCGTATACAACTACAATATCAGTCTTTGAATTGGAGTGATGGGATTGAACAGGGCCAACTTGGACATGGGAGGCAAGTCGTGTTCAGCCAGTACTGCATGCAAATGTCCTGCACCACGAAGCTAGCGGGACGTGCTGTACCAGGAGTTGACGTGGCAGTTGGTCCGTCAGTTGGCTCCGGAGTGCTCCAGATACTCCATACAATATGTTCTTGGGATGGCTGCTCATTGCCGTAGTAGTGATATCCACACCGGGGAGTAGTCAGTAGGCAAACATACAGCCACCGCGGTAGTATGCGCGTACAGCAGGGGATTGGCTTTTCGACCCCGAATTTGGAAGTTCTACGCGATCTGTGGTCTGCTCCTCCTGATTGCGGCCTTGACCTTCTTGCCGTAAGAGTGCGTAAAAACCGGCCCTTCCCCAAGAGCGACTGTAAGGGCAGCCTGGGGTCGGAACCCACATGATTTAGAATTACAATTGCCTGTGCTGTCTCCCTGTGCGCTACAGGTGGACTTAAGGTGGCTCCTACCCCTCGGGTCCAAATTTCTTTTGTTTGAAACGTGGCTACAAACGATTGTACTTTGTTTCGCTGGATATCTAGTGTGCGGAGACAAAATTTTATCAAGTTCTACCGGCCGGTTTCACTCGGGGGAGGGGCCAAACATAGCATACTCACAATTGCCAATTTAGGCCAAAAAACACCGGAAAATCACTTTTTTGGCCGTAGCACTCGTAGTTACCCCATTTTTCTTGATGTCCAACATCAGGACAGTAGTATACTTGCTAAATACTAGCATAAACTTTAGAAGTGGGTAGAATTCTGCTAGAAGGTGACCTTTTTCTCTTTTCGGAATCATCCCATTTCAGCGCACACGTCCCACATATTAGCCCCGCCCATAAGTATTTGACACTGGACTTGCCCTGTATTCGATGGTTATGCTACCATAACCTAATAATGGTACTGTGTAGCAAGTCTGAGCAGGTTCTACCGAAGGTAACTCTTGAAATAAAACTTTGAAGTGTCAAGTGATGCCATATTTTCAAGAATCAGCACATTGCACTGGGACATTGTCCAACGCCTTAGAACCCCTTACTCCACCATATGACAGATACGTATCTTGCAATAATTGATTGCAACATCTTCAGAACATAGTATTAGAGCTTTGGATCAAGTTTTAGCAGTTTCCACCGAAGCTAACTACCGAAATAGAACTTTGAAGTCGCCCACATACTAAATGCCATAGCTGAGCATGTGCATTGTGTGTATGGTCTAAAGGTTTTCACAACTAGCTCCAATGCGGCAGATACGTGTCTTACATTACTTGATTGCAACATCTTCAGAACATAGTAGTAGAGCTTTGGATCAAGTTTAGACAGTTTCTACCGAAGCTAACTACCAAAATAGAACTTTGAAGTCGCCCACATACTAAATGCCATACATGAAGCTGAGCATGTGTATTGAGTGTACATATAATTATGCTCTAGTGTTTTTCACAACTTTCTCCAACATGAAGCCAATACTGATGTGGAATTTTTTGACTGCTTTGTCCAAAACACAGTGCTGAAGCAATGCACATTGGGCACTTTCTACTGGTAATGCAATTATTATTATACAGTGTTTGCTGCCAACATAGCCGTTGAAGCAATACTGCTATACTAAATGCGTATTCCATTGGGTACGGTCCAATGGCTTTTCACTTCGCATCTAGCCACTGTTCTTCGTGCATTTCTTGAATGCTTAGTCTCCGTGATAATGAAGCTAAGAGCCACACTGGAGAAGTTTCTACTGAAGCTAACTATCAAAAATATAAAATTTCCAAGATGCTACTATTACATAAAGTAGCTGTGTGCAATGCCACTCTGTTGAACACAGTAAGCAAAATTGAGTCACTATGTAATAGGTCGCCGAGTGGTATCAGGAGGCACACACAAGAAGACTGACTAATATTATGTTATTCGGCTCAATCTGCCTGAAGTTATGTATACAACTGCTCCGGCTCAATCTGCCTGGAGGGACTCGGAAAGGAATACAACTGCTCCGGCTCAATCTGCCAGGAGGGACTCTGTTCTGTTCTGTTAGGTTCTGCTCTGCTCTGAAGAAATGAGTAAAGCATGGCAGCTTTTATAGGGCGAAAAGGAAGGAGATCATCATAGAGTCTGCATGAGCCATGAGTCATGAAAAAGGGCAGAAGTCTGTTGTGTCAGTCCAAACAGAACTTGGGAAGGCATAGCAACAGTATCTAAATGTATAAGGATGAAAGAAGCAAACGGAACTTTGGAGGAGAACAGAGGCCAGGGAGGGCATTAGCAAATGGATGCAAACAGGATCTAGAAAGGGTCATGACTGTCCGCATGACCTCAGTCAGGGTCAGGGAGGTACAGTACAACATGTGGGTGTTAGTTCTACGTGTATATTATAGGTGTGATGATCTAAACTAGCAAAGATATGTAGTATGCAATCCAGCAAGCGCAAGAGAAGCACAAGTGGTGAGAAGTGATATAATTAGCTTTGCAGGCTTGTCAGCAAAGGAGTGACAAGAGTCATGCAGTGCATGTACGTGTACATGTGACATGATTAGAGGTCAGTAGATATAGATGTAGTACTAGTAGTACTAGTAGTCAGCTACAGTTCAGTACTATCAAGGCAGGGATACTACACCCTCCCTTCCTACAGATAATCACGCCCTCGTGATTTTTCCAAAGTATTTAAACAAGGCTTGGTAGACTGATAATAAAGTAGGGACCCTGTGTGTATAATGTGTGAAGGACCTGTCTCTCTGTGGAGCGGGAAAAATTTCGGACGGTAAAAAAAAGGATGTGTAAAATCGCGTCACTGTGGACGGTAACAGTTCTTCATTCGCGTCTCTCTGGGACGGTACAACGGGAAAAGTAGACTCGCGCATCATGTGGCGCTATATCATGTTACATGGACTGGTTATTTGAGTGCGTGCTTGCAGGGTATACAGTATTTTGGGTCTGAAACTGATTGCTTGGTCGTTACGGGGTGGACATGATCGGGATGGGTGATGAAAAAGGCTAGGAAACTTTGTGGTCAGAAACTTGAGAAAGCGGTCGTACGGAAGCTGCAGTGCGGCGAAATGTTGAGTGATCTAGAACTGTGTACTGCATGTATCTGGACGTACATGAAGGTGCATGGAGGGTTGTGAGTCCTAGGTTGTTGAGCGAATGGTGTGACTGGGACTGGGAGTGGGATTGTCTGTGGGATGGAGTTGCTGAAGGAACGTGGAGAGCTTTGTGTATCGCGTGTAGTGTAGCAAACAAACTAAAGGTGAGAGATGTTAGCAGGGGAACAACTTTGGCAGCAGAACGAGTTAGTGAGAGGAATATGGCAGCAAGGAGCATCAGGACAGAATGGAAACTACTGCTGGATGGGGGAGCTTGCATAATACGCGGCGTAGCTTGCACGATAGGGGTGGCATGTGTACTAGTAACAGTTGCATTTGACCGGGTTGATGATTGAGTAGGGATAGAGGAAGAATGGTGACATACCTGGGTTGAAGGGAAGATGTGCCGTGTATCGCGACGACGATAGCAATACGCTATGGCATGGCCAATCTGCTTGCAAAATCGGCAATATGGGCGAAGACGAAAGGGCCGACGTCGCTTGGGTCGTACATATACCGGTGGCTGTAGTCCAGGGACATACCGGGCATGGGAACTCGCTGAAGAATGATGGTGATCCATTTTGCCGAAATGCGTACGTGACGGCGTCGATCTGCTGTATGGATGGACTGACGAACCGGGATTCTGCATCGTTCTCAGGTCCTCATGGGTTTAGAAACGCGGTGGGGGCCAATTAACGGTGCTTTCCGCTCATCGTTCGAGGCTGCCATCAATGTAATAGGTACTAACAACGAGACTGACGACAACGATTGACTAAGGATGGTAACAACATAACAAGACTGAAGTTGCGTAAACAGATCTACAGGGACGAATTCACGCACCGCTGCCACCAGTGTAATAGGTAGGTTCGAGTCTTACAAAGGAATAACCACCGCTGCCACCAGTGTAATACAGATACTAGGTGGGTTCGAATCTAGCAATTATAAAATTGAACCACCGCTGCCACCAGTGTAATAGGTCGCCGAGTGGTATCAGGAGGCACACACAAGAAGACTGACTAATATTATGTTATTCGGCTCAATCTGCCTGAAGTTATGTATACAACTGCTCCGGCTCAATCTGCCTGGAGGGACTCGGAAAGGAATACAACTGCTCCGGCTCAATCTGCCAGGAGGGACTCTGTTCTGTTCTGTTAGGTTCTGCTCTGCTCTGAAGAAATGAGTAAAGCATGGCAGCTTTTATAGGGCGAAAAGGAAGGAGATCATCATAGAGTCTGCATGAGCCATGAGTCATGAAAAAGGGCAGAAGTCTGTTGTGTCAGTCCAAACAGAACTTGGGAAGGCATAGCAACAGTATCTAAATGTATAAGGATGAAAGAAGCAAACGGAACTTTGGAGGAGAACAGAGGCCAGGGAGGGCATTAGCAAATGGATGCAAACAGGATCTAGAAAGGGTCATGACTGTCCGCATGACCTCAGTCAGGGTCAGGGAGGTACAGTACAACATGTGGGTGTTAGTTCTACGTGTATATTATAGGTGTGATGATCTAAACTAGCAAAGATATGTAGTATGCAATCCAGCAAGCGCAAGAGAAGCACAAGTGGTGAGAAGTGATATAATTAGCTTTGCAGGCTTGTCAGCAAAGGAGTGACAAGAGTCATGCAGTGCATGTACGTGTACATGTGACATGATTAGAGGTCAGTAGATATAGATGTAGTACTAGTAGTACTAGTAGTCAGCTACAGTTCAGTACTATCAAGGCAGGGATACTACAACTAAAACCCTATTTGCCAGATATAAGCTGTTGAGACTGATAGCAGCTAAGCTGTATGATCTGATAATGATGGCGGTTCCACACTGACCAGCACATGTACACGTGCACAGGCAGAAGAACATACAAGTAATACACCTAACGTTACTTCGAAGTCCATCATGTAAATACAAGCGTATATACAAGCATCACTCCTGTTCTCCATAACCTGCAGTCCTGGGCCACTCCAGCTGGTCAGAGTGCAATAATTTCTGCAGCAGGCTTGACTTGGAAAGCTAATCACAACTGCCATGGCTGCAACATGAGTATTACCAGCGCTACTTGTATTATTATTGTCAATCCATTGTGGTGCATGGCACTAGTTTTCAACAACCGAGTTTATGTCATTAGTTGCATATCCAACGCCAATAGAAAAAAGAAGGGGTGGGGCAAATTACCACGGTTCAACACTAGTCATATTGAACGGCGTTATGCCATGCCAGGCGCGCACACAAAACGCCCGCGCGAGTGCGCATGCATGTACACACCCGGGTAACACACATTCGTGCGACTTTACATAGCCTGCACTGTCGTTCTATGTCATACTCATAGGAGTGAGTGCACACACATATATGTACATGTAGATTGCCTAATTTTGCATACGTAATAAAATTGTGTAAGTATACACACATGTGCGTGCACATATAGATAGACTCAGCGGCATACGCATGAGCGTGTGCCGATAGGGCCACATGCCAATTATCGGATTAGTCTGTGAAAGTTGCACAGCACGACAAACTTTCGGACAGTCTAAATATATGACACAATGAATGTGGAATACCACCAGTGTGTAAGACCGTTTCATACCTATTTCGCAGCGTTTGTGATTTTCGGAGCGTCCCTGTTGATATTAATTTGATGTCCTCACTTGGTTGATGACACAGTCACAAATTATCAAATTCACCTCCAATGCCATCCAATCTGCGTTCCGCGATACATGTACAGTGAACGGTGTTGAGGAAAGCCATGCAGCAATAAAACAGTCGAGACTCCCAAGCAGAGGATACAATTCAACAGCGTATTGAAGTACGAATTGTTGTAAACAATTTTCAAGACACAATTACAAAATTTGAAGTGCGTCTTGAAACGTGTTTGAAGTGCTTCGATGTATTTACCTTCGATCTCCCTGAATCGATCCATCCACAGCTACCCGACGAATTTACCAGTCAGTGCGGGAGAATGATCGAGCAAGTTATATTTGAAGGTCGCGAGATGTCAGTGGCACTGGCAGGAAATCTACACAAGCGTATTCTGAAATAATTTTCTAAGACTCAGGCGTGATTCAAGAGCGGACTTTGATTTCTCCCTTCTTATAGTACGAGCACCAGTCGACATTGCATTCTTGGAAAATCTTCTGCGAGTGCTGCCTTCCCCTTTCATAGAAAGAACGAGTGAAGAGGGACACTAGCAGCAGGTTCTAGCTAGGTCGCCAGAATTGCAGAAAAGCGAGAAGACGTTTCCTACAACGATTGATCGCACAAAAATCATCGCTACCGAAAATTTTACTGAAAATCTACACTTTTCAAACGATGCGCGCGCAGAGGGTGTGAGCCACCTTAAATAGTCATACTCCCAGAATTTCAAAGCAACACAGCCACACCTCATATTGTATAGTACACAAGCCAGCATTCTTTTTTTTTTACTGCTACTCCGACCTTCATGGTTATTCATTCACCAATCTTCAGACAACAGCATTACGTGCATACATCTTGTATAGTATGTTCACTCTTCGAAGAAATTTTGTTTACAGCTGTCACATGCAATGTACATGCGCTTTGAGAAGTAGCAAACACATGGAAAACACGAGCATACCGGTACGTACAACAAATCTACAGCACATGCACTTTCAAGCATACAGTATGTACAGCACAGCAAATCAAACGAATTAGCAGCAGCATAACAAGAGTAGGCCAACGACTGCACAAGGGTTGGGAGAAGCCACACAAAGAGTCGCAGAGAAGAGTAGCTATACAGAGGTCAACATGAAATAACCAGCGGTGCAAAAAACAAAACAAAACGGGTGCCTCAGGAAATTATGTACTTGGATATGAGTCACAAAAAATAGATAAGTTACACGTATGTACTTGGAAAACAATACTCATGACACGTGAACGCATCTTTGATCAGATATTACTATAATTATTACTATGAAACACCGCAAATCTACGGAAAAATTCCCCAACAAGTCAACTGGGGCAGATAAGAAAACTCGCACATTCTTGTCCGCAGCGGTTGTCAATGCCATTGACCATGCCTAAGAGATGACTGAGCAACACTGCCAAGGAAGACATATCGATACAAGAACTACGTTCACTGCTTCGACAATCAGAACTCTGCCCAGCAAGCGTGTTCACAGCACTTATCAATGAACATGGACCATGCCATAAAGAAACCTGAACAACACTGTCAAGGAAAACATATTGACACAAGAACTACGCTCCCTTCTTTCTTTGACAACTGGAGAGCTCTACCCAGCAAGTGTTTCTCAACACAACTATTGTAACATAATATTATATAGGTCGTAGCACCAACGTGTGAACTTACTTTACTTTTTTTTTACCCAGCAAGCGATCAAATCAAAGTAACGCCCAAAGACATAACATAGTGTGCCCCGTTCCCACAACCATTAGCACGTGCTCCTAGCAGCAACCTAACACATGAAGTCGGCTTCAGTTATAACAAACTCGCGTATGGCGAATCATCGTCCATGCCCCTGTTTGAGCCCATACAAAAATTGACCCTTTATAGCGAGCAGTTTTCGTTTATAGTGAACCATATCTTGTTCTATCGTAGTTATTTCTTTGTTCATCACCACTTTCTCTACTTCAATAGAATTTGTTCGCTTCAGCTGGTTCTGTTTACTAGTACATGTATTGCAATCCTTAAACTGTTGTCACCTCGCCGCCTTTTCAAATACCTTGTAGCCTATGTAGGGCCACACGTAAACCAAGTACACTCATACAGTCAAGGGTCAGACGCCAGCAGGAGTACATAGGCTGGGAGCTAATTTACTCTTCTCGCCAGTCATACTGTGTTGCGTGTATGGTGTGAGCGCATTTCTGTTATAAAAGAACTTCGGCTATAAAGAACTAAATTCTGCTCCGCAGTGGTGTTCGTTCTATCAGGAGTCAACTGTACATGTATTCGAAGATTGCCATGAAAATGCTCTTCTCACTACGTCGAGCCACGTTGTAGCAGACTAGCTATAAGCATTGGCACAGCAAAAGGTAAGCAATGCCGTGTCACAGACTGATACTAGCAATGCACAAACAGGTACATCCTCCGGTAACAAAACGCCATGACTTTAATCAACCTGTCAATTATGGTGAGCTGACTGAGCTCAGAGGACTCGAGCGATGACGACTCCGAGTGAGACTTAAACGGTGCTAGTTTCTTTCCTACTTTGAAGTACAATAGTGTACATACTTCAAAAAAGTATATTCATTCATTGTCTTGACGTGTTTTTGTTCCATTGAACCAGATTTCTTGAGCACAGTAGTTAATTCCTTTAATAGGTGAATAAAAAGTCACACAGTTTTGTTCCGGAGGAAGTAACACTAAACAGGAGGAGAGCATAATATTATGCATATAACTGGGAAGAGGATACGTCCAGAAAAGCACATATGTCTGAGGCGAAGTCACAGGTCAAGGAGCATACACAGAAACAGTTGTCATTCCCAAGAGTTAGTTCTCCATGCACTCTATGATTCCAACAGCAATACATCAAAGCACAAAAATGCAACAATTCACAGCACCTCCTCCCCCACCCACCAAGTTCTCAGGATCTCAGCTACAGGAACTCATCACTTATTCTAGGCATAAGAAACAATCTTGCGTGCTCAAACACATGTTAAAAGGATTGGAGCAGGGTGAGCAAATTCTATTTTCCGTCCCAATTCCAAGTACAGATATTACACACAACGATGAGCATTCTACAGTGAATGGTCGGCAATTTAGACATACACCAATTGCAATTCACCACTCGCCCACCTACACCCGACACTTATCATGACTTCATCAAGTACATGTGCATGTCACTATCAGCTAGACAACAAAGGAATGGAGGAGGATACCGACACTGCGCCCAAAATGCCATCAAACCAGATGTTCTGCTTGCGCAGAAAGTACTTGTCCACATTGGTCCCCGTTCTGACCACCAGCAGGCACTGTAGCAGCACATACAGCAGCACACACATGCACGTACACACGCACGTACACACACACACACACACACACACACACACACACACACACACACACACACACACACACACACAACAGCAACACATACAGCAGCATTATCGCCCAGATCGGACACGACAAACAAACTGCTCATGACACGCTGACTCAAACCAGTAGTCACTACACTGAATGTCACTTGCATTGCAATGCTGTGCTGTACCACACCTGGCTACAGTCAGTTACAGTCATACACATGTAGATAAGCACAGACAGTCAGTCACAGAGCAAGGCATACGCGAAACTACTTTAGAATCATGTCCAAAAGGCACACTATCTTACGTTCCCAGGTAAGAGACAGAGAAAAGACCATGAACAGATAATAACAACACTTGTCAATGTGGAGTACTAAGCTCAGCGATTTTATTAAAACAGTACTAGTACGAGATTAAGGTACTTGGCAGCGTTGAGGGATAGATAGAACAGGCAAATACATGTACATAGATGGACAGACAGAGAGACAGCCAGCCACACGAACAGAGAGATAGATAGTGATCCACTCACAGAGGTTGCAAGAGCTGCTATGATGTAGAAGATGAATCCATAAAGGCCAGTCAGTCCTAGAATACCAGCCGCGCCTCCGCTGATTGATGCTGCTGCTGTACGGCTGAGAGGCAGAGCGGTCAGGACGAACAAACAGATGAGAAAATCAGCACCGAGTAGCACAGCTAGCGAGTGCTTCGGCGGTACAAACAGAACAGGCAAAGCGGTCAGGACGAACAAACAGATGAGAAAATCAGCACAGAGTAGCACAGCTAGCGAGTGCTTCGGCGGTACAAGCAACCTAGAACCAGATCCGCCAGAGCTTACACTTAGGACGCAAGGATCTACCCTCCATTGTCATATTTTTTTACTCAGCCCTAGTTGTGCGGAGCAGTAGCTGCACATGATGGCATCAATGAGCCGGATTGTGGCACACTAATACCAATTCCGACCTACCCGTATAATTATAATTAGTACATGTATCTAGATACTCTAACAATTTTATCAACAATTATGATAATTACCACATCAAACGCTACAGAGACCTATCCAGAATCGGCAATATGCTGGCCCTGGCCTGGAGATCTGCAACTACAATCAGCTTCTACTTTGCAACAATAGAGAGGTTCCGGGGTACGATTTTCCGTGCCAAAATCCGTATGGGCGCTACGGATTTTTTCCAGGCGTGCTCCATATGATTTTTCGGCACGGAGAATCCGTGTCGACTGGCTTTCATACGAACCATGTTTCGTATGGAGATTTGCGTCATCGGGTGCAGAAAGATTTTTCGCGTACAAATTTGGTACGAGAAGCATCGATTTTTCGCGGGAAGTTTTGATTTCGGTACAAATTTTCAAAATAAAAAGGCATAGCGCGGGAATGTGACGTGTTTGCGATCGTAACCTAGGCAATGACGGCAAACACATAAGTTCCGTACTCCGGAACATTTCACTGCTCGAAAACGACGTATAAAAAATCCGTAGCGCCTCTACGGATTTTGGCACGAAAAATCGTACTCCGGAACCTCCCTATTAACGGATTAGTCCCCTTTGTCGATTGATGGATCAATCGGTAGATTCGGCTCTGTTTTTCTTTCCTTTCTTTCTAGTTTTGAATTGTATGTTTAAAGGGGAAGTTAAGGCAAAAATTAAAATTTCACCAGTTGTAGTCTTCGGGGTGCTGAGTCGAATGGTCTTGGTCCGAGGAAGCTGCGACGCTCCTTTCCTACTTGAATCCCAATCGAACTCGCGCACTTCCACCGAAACTGGGTGACTGCGCCCTACTAGATGGGGATTTGTATGCAAAATGTCACTAAAAGCGCCATTTCGTTCTTATAAAAGCACGGATGACCGCGATTGGCCCATATGTTGTAGTCTTTGGGACGCTGAGTCGACTGGTTTTGGTCCGAAAAGGCTGCGATACGGCGTTCCTCCTTTATTCCCAATCGAACATGGTTGAAGAAGCGGTCACGTGCTCCTGCGTACACCAGTCACCTGGTCACCGTGCCTGCAGGGTACAACTTACTAGCCTGTTTGACCTTTTTTGGGTGCAGTCCTGTCACTCGAGTTGAACCCGAGTTGAACCTTGGTGTGAAAGTTGTCACCTGCTGGCGTGGTGACCAGGTGATTTGGGCACCCAGGACCACGTGACCACTTCTTCAACCATGTTCGATTGGGAATAAAGGAGGAACGCTGCATCGCAGCCTTTTCGGACCAAAACCAGTCGACTCAGCGTCCCAAAGACTACAACATATGGGCCAATCGCGGTCATCCGTGCTTTTATAAGAACGAAATGGCGCTTTTAGTGACATTTTGCATACAAATCCCCATCTCGTAGGGCGCAGTCACCCAGTTTCGGTGGAAGTGCGCGAGTTCGATTGGGATTCAAGTAGGAAGGGAGCGTCTCAGCTTCCTCGGACCAAGACCATTCGACTCAGCACCCCGAAGACTACAACTGGTGAAATTTTAATTTTTGCCTTAACTTCCCCTTTAACTCATTGGATTTCTTTGTATTCTGTATCTCGTTATCGTTATCTTTTCCTCTAGCCCTCTCGCTCAGGATGAGCTTTCTTTTTTTATGGCAGCTTAAGCGAAGGCTATATACCTGCTTTATGCAGGTTGATGCCAACGCGAACAAGCAAAATAATAATAATAATAATAATACATGTATCTACCATCCCCACATCATGCAGCTTCCGTTTCAATTTGCTGTAGATCTACCACTACAAGTATTAGATTCATGACATCAGCTCAAAATGAATGAGAATTTGATGCACCTACCAGAATTCCACGGTGGCCGCATTTCCACGTAGGGCTGCCTCGTTAAATACTACTTTACCTGGAAATCATTGCACAATATTCAGAAGTACAAGATGCGACATTTGATCGTTTACTATGGTCCAAGGCCAGGACCGACTCAATGATAATTTCTCACCAGACATATTCAAATCTTTCCAGACACTATATTTGTAGGACTCAACTACCTAACCACACGAAACAACCTCCAATAACTGTAAACGTTATGGATGTCCTGGCTTTCTATCTAGATCATTCCAGACAAGTAGCAAGAGTAGCATGTAATGTTGCTCATTGAAATGATACAATCATGCATGTAAATACGGATACGACAGCATGACGAGTTTTTCTGCAATCAGGTGTATACTCGTAGTGAACTGCCGGATATCCATTCAAACTACAATTTCTTTTTGAACATTTTTTTAGGTGAAAGCGAGAATTAGAATTTTGTTGTAGACATCGACAGGCTAGGAAGGCCGTGCATGACGTACACGTACACGCATGTGCACATGATTATGATGTATAATGCATATCGCATGCGCGATATGCACGACACACACGCACACGTACACGTGCCGTGGTGGTGCTATGCTGATTATGTAGCTACAAAAAAAATTTG